TTTGTTGGTTTCAATCTGCATCATATTAAAAGCAAAAGACCTGTTGAAGGTACACTTTCACAACGCTAAACTCAAAATCGCAATGCGAAAGTCAAAATCGCAATACGAAAGCCAAAATCGCAACGCGAAAGTCAATTTGCATTGCGATAGTCTAATACGCTTTGCGATTTTCTCTTTGCGATAGTCAAATTCCCGTTGCGATAATCAAATTCGCGTTGCGATTTTTGCATTGCGATAGTCAAATTCGCGTTGCGATAGTCAAATTCGCTATGCGATATTCAAATGAATGTGTAATAAGTGATAACAACTGAACATATCATAGCAATGTTCAAACTCAAGTTACTAATACATACCTAACTGAAAATGTTAAAAGTTTACACATAAAATACACATAATACAACGTTTTCATTTAAAAATCACCTAAGTTAATAGTCCCAAAAGGTGAAGCCGGTTATGATTGGGATTTTGATTTTGATTGCGATTTTGATTGTCTTTTGCTTGACACCATATGAGCTTTGGATTTTGATGAGGATCCATATTTTGGTAGAGGAAAAGATGATTGTGATGACACTGGTGATCCACATGTCAACCTTGTATGACCACTTTCCTTGCACCGACTACATGTCGATCTCTTCTTCTCTTCACCCTTAGACGGTATACGATCGTGACTTTTTGGTCGGCCAGGTAGCCTTATGTCCATGGCTGGTGGCAAAACTATTTGTAAGTCATCTGGTATGTCACACTCAGAAGGATGTGGAATAGGGTAGATAATCTCAGCATAAGTATGTTGATATACTTCTGTAGTGTAGCAATCCATATCGTATGCGCTTGAATCATCTTGGTTTAGATGAAGAGCAACTTTTATAACATGACCACACGGATAACTAGATGTTTGTCATTTCATACTACTACACGTCTTTGCATTTAGATCAACAAGCTCATTTAAGTTATTATTCAGTACTTCAAACAAATTGTTTGAACATGGTTCAACTCTCCATGATGTTGACTTCACAACACGTTTCGTTATCTTTTTTTCAGTCCATGGTGTAACACGATGTTCCAATGTTCCTGTAAATTTAAATAAATAATACTTAGTAAAATATATGATAAGTTACGAATTTAAAAAAATAATACATGCATGGTTTCTTTTCTTGTAGTACCACTGTTGAATAGAGGCTCGAAAAAACTCCATTAACATAATAATGGGTAATTTCTGGAATGACGACTTAGAGCGTTGATTGATTCTTCACTATTAGACGTTATGAAACTATATCTTGCTACAAGTTGATGTACTATTGACCATCTTTCAAACCCGACATCTTCTAGTGTTTGAGCACATTGAGGCAAAACACGTCTTAAACAATTTATATGCTTATTAAAATCCACTTCCCGATAAGTTTTTACAGCATTCCAGTATGTCCATTTGTGATTTTTTATACCAGCAGACCTTGATTTTAGATTTCTATACAAATGAACACCACAAAGTCCATGAAAAGCTTCTGGAAAACACCTTCTAACAGTGTTGTCAATTGAGTTTGCCCTATCAGATATGATTGTCAGATTGCTAATAGGACCTATGCAATCCCTAAGATGTCCCATAAACCATGTCCATGAATCAGAGGTTTCAGATTTGACAACCCCGTAAGCTATTGGCAATATCCCATTGTTAGCATCCATGACTACTGCTAATAAGTTTACTCCAAGGTATCGACCTTTCAAATGTGCTCCGTCAACTATAATAATTGGGCGCATGCAAGTAATAAACGAACGAATCTACAAAATAATATACACAAGAAATATAATCATTTAAATGTGAAATGCATGTAACTAACAAAAATGAGTCAACAAAATTATATTGATTTACTAACCGCAGCACCAATGGCGATAAACAACAACTCAAAGTGGTCATCTCTATCTATTTTGATATGAGTTACCGACCCATGATTTTTCAGCTTTAAATTGTGACAATAAGCCGGCAGTTGGGCAAACGATGCTTCTGGCGACCCACTCAACAATTCCAAGGCATAACATTTGGCTCTCCAAGCTTGAGAATATGAGATACTAATCTTGAACCGAGCATTCATGTCAGTCATAATTTCATGTCCCCGATATACCCTGCCATTCAAAAACATTAACTCAGCCAGAAAATCACCCAACACCTTTTTATTTGCCTGTCTATGGTGAGGAAAAACTTGGGTTCTTGAACATGTATGTTTATCAATAAAAGTCCTAACTTGAAACATTTCGCAATCTTTTATCCTCTTTGCAATCATACGCCACGTACAGTTTTTGTCAATCATACACCTTGTTTTGAAACGATCTTTGCTTGATTTATTAACTTTTAGTTGATAGCCATCTTCCACACATTTCGTATACAAAGCTATCTTCAAGTCTTCCTTTGTATCAAAACAATCATCTTTCTTGATTCGAATAATTTTTGTGTAACAATCAACTGCTATCTTTACCAACTATTCTTCCGGTATCTGAAGTAATTCTGGCATATTCCAGTTATACTCCCGTGGCATTTTCTTCGGGGACTTTTCTTCGAGGATTTCTTCTTCTTCTTTTTCTTCTTCAGGGTTATATGAATTACAGAATGGATGTTCAACATGTTCATTCACAGTCGTAACTTCCTCCTCATTATCATCAACAACATCTTCCTCGGCAGCGACTGTTTCATCATCAAAATTCGGGTATTGACCAATATCAAAATCATTACACGCAGGGTCTATTTCTTCTTTTGAAACATCATCAAAATCTGAGTATTGACCAAGATCAAAGTCTGGGTATTGACCAAGATCAAATTTCGAATACTGACTAGTACTCACAATTTTTTCTGTTGGCTCATCATCGTCTAACTGGTCAATACGAAAACCGGAATTTGGTGCTGAAAGTTTATTGGGATTTGGATTAGGGAAATGTTGTGGATTTTGAGATTGTGTTTGGTATTGGAAATGTGGTGAAACAAAATTTGATTGGTGATGAAATTGTGGTGAAACCATTAAATTTTGAGCACCATAAACTGGGGGTTGAAAAACTTAGTTGATTACTACCCGCTACTGACCCAACTTCACTACTTCTAGGTTCAACAACATACAATGTAACATCATCTTGCGAAACACTAATGTAAGCAATGAATCGTTCAACATCTTCATTGTCGGTTAACAAATAAACTTTACTTTTTCTCTGATAAGATAGCTTAAATCCACTTAGGGGCTCTAAATTCAATTTATTTGCAACACGTAACATTAGAGTTTCATAAGTTAACTTTTTTAATGACAGTTTTAGTTGAAGATTCATGGGTAAAGACATATATTGTAAAACACCATGAATATTCTCCCATGACCCTCCAAAATACAAATCTATCCAAACATGATCAACATTAGATGATTTCATTGTAGTAAATTAATTTACCAAACAAACGAGCTGCGAAACTAAAACCTGTTGCCGGATGGGGAAGGATGTCGTTGGATATAGGAACGGATGTCGCTGGAGAGAGTGATAGATGGAGATGGAATGAGTTGCGATTTAGGGATTTAGGTTATGAGTTACTGCTGCTGCGTAGTTATATACCCAAAACATTTGTGTTGCGAAACTAAAACATGTTGCGAATTTGAAATTCAGTGTTACGATAGTTAGAATCGCGTTGCGATAGTCAGAATCGTATTGCGATAGTCAGAATCGCGTTGCGATTTACATATTCGCATTGTGATTTTCTAAAATCGCAACGCGAATTTGGAAAATCACAATGCGATAGTCAAAATCGCGTTGCGAATCTGGAAACTGATTTGCGATACTGGAGATCGCATTGCGATTTTGTTGGTCATTTTGGCAAATCGAAAAAAAGTTGGTCAAAATCGTATATTATAAGGCATTTTCGGTCACTGAGGTTATTTTCTCTTATTGATATAATAAAAGTCAACAAAATAAGGAATGGTGAAATGAGCAAAGGCAGGCGAGTGGATCCGCAACAGTGATGGGTGAACTTACCCAATTCCCTAGAGACACTGAACACCGACGCCGTACAAAGACGAAAACACGTGTCACAAATATATAAGAAGTTCGTTTCCGACCATGCAAACTAAGAGTGTTCTCGGTTCGGCTCAGTTTTTAACGAAAACTAAATTACATAGAACTTAAAATTTAAGATTTAATTTGGTTCGGTTTTACTATTTTAATAGTATAATGTTAAAAAATGATTTTAATTTTTGACTGAATAATCATTTTATCCCTTATTTTCTTGAGCATTTTGGCACTTAACATTTTATTTTACGGGAAAAACCCTTTTATAAATGAAAATTATTAGTTAAGAAATTGTTAACACTAAAAAAATATAGACATTCTTATCATAAAAGGAAACGTTGAGAGTCAAAAATCTCTAAGAAAAAAGAACAAGAACTAAAGTGAATATTCCGTCAAATATTATAAACATTTTCATCCTAACATGTTGAAGACTAATTTTGACATTATAGTGTTTTTAATTATTCATATTTAAATTGAATTTGTTAATTCAACATAAAAAATACAAACTTCAAGCTTAAACCGAATGTAAATATATATGTTTAAATTCAAAAAAATAATATTATTAATTTCGTGAACTTGTTTATTTTTATCTTATAACAAATTAAAAATGAATTTATTTTTGAAACATTATCTTTTTCTTTTCAAATTCGTGTTGATTTGAAACAAACAAGTTTCAAAGAAAATAACTAAAATCGAACCAAATTGTATAATAAAATGTCTAAACCGAATTAAAATCTCAAACTAAATTAAACTGCATAATTCAATTCTAATCAATTTTTTGGTTTTATCGGTTTCCTTGGTCAGGCTGCCCTAGTTATGGGTGTAGTTTAAACAATCCCCCCCCCCCCCAAACAGAAAAAAAAAACCTAGATTTATTTTAAAATCAAGAGATCATCAACATATAAGCCAAGATAAATCCCCATTTTAAACTAATATTTGGCTTCCATAGGACTATGATTTTCTAGTTTTGTAACATATCTTTTTATTTTTCCATTAAAAAGATACAAAGAACTCATTTATACCTGGGTCTCAGCCAACAGGCTTTTAAACAAAATGGTACAAAAGCACCCAAGCAGCTATAAATAGTTGAACACAAGTTCCAAATGCAAACAAAGATGCTTGGAAACGTTAACAACATGATTATGCAAAGTTAGATTTTGCAGCATGGCAATCCAAATGCACCAGCACAAGCTTCCCAACAAGATATATATATATATATATATATATATCGTTATCATTTTCCTTTACGACGATTTCTCAGTGCTGCGCAATCCGGACAATACCATTTCCCTTTCGGCTGTTCTTTCAGACCAACACAGCCAAAGTGGAACCACTCTATCTTGCACTGTTAAAAGGAGCGGGAGTTACATCAGATCGAAAGTTGGGAGTGCAACCGAAAATAGTTTCGGAGAAAAAAAATATATGGAACTTAGTTACATACAGCAGGGTTATCACATGCCACCATCTCGCCATAGCTAACTTGGTTGCACAAACAATAAGTCGGCTCGTTAGGATCCACTGGCAAGTCTAATTCCATACCGGTTGGATTTGCTGCCGTTGCTGCCACTTCTGTTGCTGCAGAAGAAGCAGCTGCTGTTGCCAGTCGTGTTTTACTGAAATACGTGATTGATTACCATGATATCATGAATATAATATAACGTTTTGCATGTAGATGTAATAGAAGGAAGTTGATGTTCCGCTTAATAGAATTAACGTTCAATATTAGTGGAGCTTTATCTGAAGAAGGAAACCAAAATGGATGACCATTGAACAATATAAAAGGAATTGTAACGAGCTTATATATGATAGGTGCATACTTTTTACGCTCTCTTCCGCTTTCAGATCTTCCAGATTTAGTGGTTCCATCAGGAATCTGGGAAGTTGCATTAGCAACAGTATTCTCTCTTTCCACTAAAAAAACATAATACAATACAAATTAAAAATGTATCACAGAAGAGGGGGTTAATGGAACAAAGGATACATTAAATAGTGCCGGAAGAGGAAAATCAACAACATACCACGCCGTAGCTCTTCGCCAGACTTTTTCAAGTACTGATCAAGTTGTTGTATATATGAATCAACCTGAAACATGATTACATCAAGCAGGGGTACATCAAGCAGGGGTACAAAAGGGTTGAAACCAAGTTCCGTCCAGCCTTGAAATCTTAATATGCTTTAATGTCACAAACGGGAAGATTCCAAACAAATATGACCAACTTAAAGTATCAATACAGCAATCGTATTGGAAATAACACCAATCGACTTTGCTTTCACAAAAGCTTTCCGCAAAGAAATGAAACAAATACTTCTCCATGAATAAGAGAACCATCCACCATGTTATTGATATGACTCTGTATTTGTAAGTTTTAGATCACTAGTCGATGAAACAGAGTAGGACGAGGAAACACTAAAAAACAGGATAGTGGAGACTATTACCCTAAAAACACATGCATTTAGAAGATTATATAAACCCCACAAAAGAATCTAACAGCATAATCTATTTACACTTTTCTACATTAAAGCAGCATCCTAGAGGCTAGGACACCTGCAACTCCAATAACCATAAAGCAATTAAAAATCTCAATCATAACCATAGCATATGAATCAGATAAAAAGTGCACTGATCAAACATCTCCCAAGGAACAAAAAACGAAAACAAACGCACCAAATCATATGCCTGAATGGCCAAGGCAACCTTTTCATCTGCAATCCTAATACTATGCTTTTGTTCATCGAGTGCCTCATCGGAGAATCTAATAAGTGAAGTATCTGGTGTAATGTTTCCGGCCCTTACTCCTCGTTTACTATCTTCTATTTCTTGTTCACAACGTTGCTCATTTTGCCTCACAATTTCTGCTCATATTAACCAACAAAAAAGGTAGTGTTTTCCAACCAAATGAAATGGGATTTCACTTCCATTACATTAATTGGTTTTGAATTTAGTACCTTTGAAGTTCTTTTTTCATATAAGCTAGTTAACACATTAAACTTATTAAAACTTCAATTAAATCCCAAACAGTTGAAAATTTGAAGTTAAAAGGAAATAAGGAATACCTTGCAAACTTTTGTCAAGATCACGCATCAACGCATACTTCTTCTGAAGAATATTGGGCAAAGCTTCTAAATCTGTAAAATTTCAATAAACATCAATTCCAAAAATGAAAATTTAATTAGCAAGACATGATCATAGCAAATAATCTCCAATTAGGGTTCCTTTTTTCCTCTCGAGATTAGAATACAAGAGATAGGACCAAATTTCAAAGAAATTGAGAAGGGAGACGTTACCCGCTTGAAATTCATCGATGAAGAAGGACATTTCAGGAATTTAGGGTTTCGCAATTGAATTTTCGATGGGAAATTTCACTGGTATGTTCCCGCCACTGCTGTAACGAACCAAAAGCCTTCGGCTAAAATTGGGTTACTCACTTTCATCAGCCAAAATACTTTAATTCACCTTTGAGATTGACCTCTTTTCTTTTTTATTTATTACTTGACTGTTGAATTTTGATTTGGTTATGATCTATTACATGTTTTATGTTTGGTGGGTGAAAAATGTGACACTGAGTAAATGGTGGTTCATTAATATTTAATAATGAAGATCGACAGTGACAATGTTGGATCATTGTTAGATCATTGCATTAATAAACAATAATGGTTGCATGATATAAATTTCTAAAAGATCAAATATAATTATAATAATTTATATTTTATCTTTATTTTTAGTAAAATATTTTAATTTACTTTTATTTGAAATAGAACGATAATATAATCTTTAATTAATAACTCTATAATAAATCAACCTAAGAGTTCAAGAATAATTTTTTTATATATATTTAAATTATAACAATGGTTATCGATTAATCTCAAACAATCATATCAATAACCAATTAAAATTTTCCTTGGTAAAGTAAATAAATGATCATCTAATTATAGGGTGTTCCTTTGTTGAGTCTCATAACTATTAAAAGTTACATAATGATCCTTCGAGTATAGGACGTTGCTTTACTGAGTTTTTAGACTATTAAAAGTTTCAAAATGATCACCCAACTATTCATATGTGATAAACTCGTCTTTTTTATTAAAAATTGACGAGAGTATAAACTGAACGTTAAACTGCTTACTGAGATATGTTAAAATCTAATTATAGAATCTCAAATGACTATCATATCTCAATTAGCATTTTAATGTCCAGCTCAGATGATTATCAATTCTTCATCGAAAAAGGATGAGTTTGGAACATATGAATAGTCATGTGACTATTTTATAATTTGTAATAGTCGAAAGACTCAACAAAATAACATCATTTAGTCAAAAAATTATTTTATAATTTTTAATAGTAAAGAGACTAAAAATATATAATTCTATAATCGATGATCATTTATGAATTTTACTCAAATTTCGTTTAGCTTAGTAAGCTACTAAGTAACAAAAGGGAAAAAAACGCTACAGGAGAGAATTAAGGATAATATTGAGGCACACGTAAGGTATCTTAAGCATACCTTTTGGAGTTCTCCTTGGTGTTCAATTAATTTGAAGGTGGATTTTTTTTAAAGAATCATTAATTTTATTTAAAATATTAAATATCTTAAATTATAATAAAGATTTGTAATTATAATAGTAAATTAAGCACATAATTAGGATAATTTTCTATAACCATTGAAACAAAACTAGTAACTTAAGATTATATAAGGATCATACAAGGACCATACAAGGAAAGATTAAAATATAACAATGAAAACTCGAACAAAGATAAATACAAACATATATGATTGCATCGGCAAACGAACAAAAAAAGGAGATCAAACTACTGAAAGACCACCGGTAAACCATAAATCAGACTTGAGCGACATGAAAAGCTATCCACAAACGAATAATGTGTATCCAATCCAATATAAGGATCCAAAATAGGGAAGATCACAATATAACAAATAAGCGTCATCTTGATCAATCGTGACGATGTCTAATCAACTCTTAAAAAAAATATAAGTGAAAACAATGACCAAATGGTTGAAAAACATACAAGAAAACAGAAGAAAACGTATCACATAGACATATAAAAACATACTATATATATAAACTTATTGAAAATAAAAAATAAAAGATAGTAAAAGGACAATAAAGAATTACGTGATGGACAACTAATATTAAAGGTGGTGTCGTAGTTAATTAGGAAAAAAAAAAGAGTAACCACTAATCAATAAGTGAAAACTACAAAAATTAAGAGAGAAAAAACTTAATTTTGTGATTTTAAAATATTAAAAATCAATTAGTGTTTGAAGGTGGAAAGTTTTTAGTTTACCGATTGTGAAAATAACATGATAATAAAAACTATATTAAATTAAAATACATAAATTAAATCTCGAAACAAATTCATAATTTGACATATTTATTTTTCTATTACAAAGTTTTGTATATTATAAATTTACACAATGGTGATTGGGCAGGTAGCCAAACGGCAGTAAAAAATAGGCTTAACCCATTTAACCCCCCAAAAAAATATCTGCTAATTTGAAAAGCCTCCTCCTCCACCACCACCACCACAATGCACAACAACAAACACCAACCGCCGCCGACGCCGACGTCACTTCCATATACCTCTAACGCTTCCGTGACAACCACCGCCTCAAAAGACAACACAAAAACCACTCTTTACATAATATTATCTACAGCCATCTTTTCCTTCCTCTTCCTCTTTATCCTCTCCCTCCCTTCCACTACCTCCTACCGAGCCCTAATCGCAACCCGACCCGATCCGGCTCTCTTCCCGAACCGACCCATATCCCAAACCGGGATCTCTTCCGCACCCACCCCTCCTTCCATTGCTTACTTCATATCGGGTTCCGCCGGCGACTCGGCTCGGATCCTCCAGCTCCTCTTCGCTTCATATCACCCGAGAAACCATTACCTTCTTCATCTTGATCTGTCTGCTACGCAGACCGAACGTGACCGATTGGCCGTCACGGTCCTAACAGTACCCATATTTAGAGCTGCCAAAAACGTCGACGTTATAGGGAAATCGGATTATGCTTACCCGAGAGGACCATCCTCAATCTCTTCTACACTTCACGGTGCCTCCATTTTGCTACGGTTAGCTTCCAATTGGGATTGGTTTATCTCTCTCAATGCCGGTGATTACCCGCTTGCTACTCAAGATGGTAATTAAAGATTTTTTTTCTTTTTCTTTTTTGGATTTGAGTAGCTGGGTTTTGCATTTTGTTTGATTTTCTTTTCTGGCTATTTATTGAATTTTGCAGATCTTCTTCATATTTTGTCTTACTTTCCGAAAGATTTCAACTTTGTGAATCACACAAGTTATATTGGCTGGAAAGAGTATGTTAACTTCATTTCTATTTCACTACTTTTGCGAATTGCACATTTGGATCCAAAAGCGATGTGGTTCTTTGTTAGAATTGATGTTTTAGTTCACTCATTTGTTCAATTTTTAAAACCTAATTATGGTTTTGCCTATAGCATCAACTCTATATCAAAAGCAACAACCAGTTCCAACATTTGTGTTTATTTAAACAATTTTTTTCTTTTTGGTTATTGAATTGATGTGGTTTAAGGTGAATATTGGCTAATATTAGTTTTCTGCATTCGGGTTTCACTTATTAAGGTCAAAGCAATTGAAGCCGATAATCGTTGATACGGGGCTTTATCTTTTGGAAAAGGAAGAGATATTTTATGCTACTCAGAAGCGGGAATTGCCAAATGCTTTCAGGTTGTTTACAGGTGTGTATGTGTTTGTATCTAGCTTATTTTTGTTTTAGCTTTTGGTTATTTCTTGTTCTTCATTCTTTTAATTGTGTTTAAGGTAAATCGATGTTGCTAATCATGGGAGCAGATGTGAAATATATGCATATTGAGTGCCATTCTTTACTACTGTGGCTCCTGATATCAATAAACAATAAACAAAGATAACATAGTTTTAGAGTGGTGGACCTGCAAATGCAGACTTGATTAAGGGTTGGATTCGAGTAATATAGGTTTATATATTGTGTGAGATCATAAGCTTGCATAGTTTGGGCAAATGCATTCACCATTGTGCTATTTCTTGATAGAATTAGAATCATCGAGTGCATGAGACTATGACTGTACTGCATAGGTTCAGAATCTTTTTTTTACCTATTAGAGGTGCGACAAGAATGTCGCATCTAGAGCATGCAACTCTGTTAGACCAATCATCGTGAAACTGACTTTTTACTTATAATTATTGATCTAATTATAGGCTTGGAGGAGATGTAAAGAACATCTATTCATCTAGTATAATCAACTTGTTTTCATTCTTCTTGCAAGTTGAGTAGTACAATTTGGTGAAAAGTACATCTATTCATCTAGTATAATCTACTTGTTTTCATTCAGCTAGTTACAAGTAGGATCGATCTTTTCTGCCTTAAAAGGAAGCTTTGCTATCACATTGCCTTGTAAGTCATAACTGAGTTGTTAAAAATTGTGAAAGATATTATGAGAATGTTGTAGGAGAATGTCTCTATTGATGGAATGCCTGTGTAGAACATATGCTACAGCTTAAAGCTCCTCATTATGCCAATAGTTAATTAGTTTCCGTCTTGTACCAAGTATAAATATCCAGTCAATTGCTTTTTAATGGCCAGTTAGCTTTCTGGGGATCATTTTCTTTATTAACTATGTATAACTGTTGCAATCATGCAAAGATATTTCGGGTCATTTTTTTTTGCTGAGAAAGTTTTCTTCCTGCTTTGCCAAGCACAATCAAAGGAAATTGTGAAATAAAACTAGGGGTGCATTCTTTTGCAGGTTCATCGTTTATGATGTTAACTCGAAGTTTCATTGAGTTCTGCATCCTTGGTATCGACAATCTTCCGAGGACTTTGCTGATGTATTTTACCAATATGCCTTATTCCCACGCCAATTATTTCCCTACCATCCTCTGCAACTCTGATCAGTTCAAAAACACCGTGATAAACCATGACCTACAATATGTAGCCTTCAACAAAACCTTTTCAAAGAAGCCTCCCCCTATGAAGCCTGAAGAATTTGATAATATGATTCAGAGTGGAGCTGCATTTGCAGGACAGTTTCAATTTAACAGTCCAGTACTTGAACGGATCGATCAAGAAATTTTGAAACGTGGCCCCGGTGAAGTTGTACCAGGCGGATGGTGCTTAGGTGAGGGCAATGGAACATGTTCAGTTTGGGGGGATGCCGATATCCTGAGGCCTGGCCCAGGAGCAAAAAGGCTCGAAAAACGTATGGTCGAATTACTTTCAGATGACAAGTATCTATCCCAGCAATGTGTAGATGAATGAACTAATGGATCAATCAACATGGAGATGCATGAAATTGAGGAAGCAAGAGGCTACTGATGCTGATTTCTCTTAACGTGGCCTTCTCAATCTTTTTGGAGTACTGAACTTTTATCGAGCATACTGAACTTTTATCGAGCATCTAGTTGTACCATGATTGTTGTAAAGTAAATCAAGACTGTTTTGTTAATCAACTCTTGACAATTTGTTTGTCAGCTCAGAATGTAGTGTCTATGAAATATTCAAAGTTTTTCATTCCAAGTCTAATGCAGATAACATAAAAGGAGAGAAGTGTAGCAAAAACATGTCAATTATGGCTCCAATATTACCTAAAAGCTAAACAAAAATAACATAGTTCTAATATAATAATAACCCCTTTTTAAATTGTTCCAAGGATGCTTCTAAGAACTAACATGGCAGCCTCTCAATAGCCCCACTGCAACATTTTTCCCAGCAATGATTGCGCCGGAAATTTGCCCGATTCTCTCTATATGCTCCTCTGTATAATCAATCAGAAAACTCCAAAAAATGTAGCCACGGCAAAAATGAGAAAGAGCACTCCGCCCAAATAACCAACCTGATCGAGAACACGACAGTTATATGGTAACTCGAAAAGCAGGTATCTGGATATGTCATACTACTAGTAGTACTAGCAAATGATAAAAAAATCAAGCAGGTATCTGGATATGTCATACTACTAGTAGTACTAGCAAATGATAAAAAATCAGTCTTACCAGTTTCTCAGAAATATAGTTGGCAAGAAATGCTCCTCCAACAATTGCAATTGATGTCGCAAGTAGGTGTCCCGCAATACCTCCACTTACCACACCCCACGGTGACTGTTAGACAGTAACCGTTTAATCATTGCGAATTAGAAATATATTCATTTATAAGATTAGGAATGAAGTTAGCAAAGTTGCACCTGTGCAGCACCGAGTGCGATAGTTGCAAGCATTGATCGGTCTCCCCATTCCTGGGAGTTATTGTAATGTTATACATTGAGTATAATCGAAAATGACTAAAAAGTGCAGTCAATATCGTCTTTTGTAGATAATAATTTTGCTTTTTAAAAAGGATAATGAGATGCTTACGGCGAAGAATACAAGGCTGAATGACTTCCAGAGAATTTCAAGTGGATTCGAGAGTTTTTTTTATGCCTGCATGCATTAAAAATAAGTCTATCAACTTTTTTTCCTTTTTCTTTTGACAAAATAAGACATGTTGAACCAACTGATTACCTGTTCTTTCACGAGTTCCTCAGCTTCAACAAACTCATCAAGTTCAGGGCCTCTCTCGGCACCTTTCTTTGCAACTGCTGGTGGAAGGTCCCATGCATCTTTTATGGACTTTAAGCCAAAGAACACTAGAAGAGCAATTGCTGCATATTCTCCTATTGGCAAGGCTACAGAAGAATAAAAGCATAATGTGTTCATCAGAAACTTTACGATAGAAATACCATAACAACGGATAGGCCGTAATTCATTACGAAAAACATCATGAATATCTCAGGCTGAAGGAAGCATTATCGGTGCATGTTTCTCTAATTCTTCATTTCGCTCGAAGTACCTATGTCCGGCACATTTTTGGACAAATGTATGTGAACATAATCCTCTACGGACCACCCAGAAACATGGGGAAACTTGGTATTAGACACACATACTAGGATCCGAAACACACTTGAGTCCGAATAACATAGGTGTAATGCGTTGGATGATTTAGCATAGCAAATTGGTACAACTATCTCTTTATATTCGAATATCTAAACTATCTAATTATATCAGTGCTAATACTACTGTTTAGTAGCCAATATGCTCATAGTCACACTTCTTAAATGATCATAAACGGCAAACCTCATTAGAAATTCATTGACGACACAAGCTAGATGCAAGGAGTAGGAACTTTCTGGTTTGGAATTGAGCAGGGACCGACTGAAAGATCCGTCCGATTATTACTGACAAGACTGTCATAAGAGAAAGAGCACCCATTGACCCCAACAGAACCTTTACAATGATTTAACAAATGTTTTAGTCCAAGAAAAAAAAAGCATTCATCAATCCAAGAATCAGAGAACATATGCAGTAAAATCATAATACCATCTTTATATTCATTTTAAAACAACAATACTTAGAAGAGCAAGAACTTTAGCGAAGGCAGGCATAGATTGGCAGTTAGAAGAGAACATACCAGTCCTTTCTTGTATTGCATAGCCAAGAGTGCAGCAATGAAAAATGTCTGCTTAAGAGATGAAAAATATAACTTAAATCTCTGGTCAAGTTTCTAAAGGCACAATCAAAAGCTTAAGAAATGAACATTTGCAACATGAGCTTTCTGCATCAATCAATCATTAGTAAGGATCATCCTCAGAATGTTCCAAAACATTGGACCATAGCACGGGTGGGATCAGCTTATAAGGAATCTAATTAATGTAAAGCAGGTACGACTTACGAGCGCATGATATGTGCAAGGACTTTTAAATTTTAATAATCTTCGTTATCGGTGAAATAAACTATCTTGATTATCTAATTAATGGCTTGAACCGGACAATATCACTAGATAAACTTACAGATTCATCGATTAAGAAAAAGGGAAGAACTATCAAAAAAGGTAGATGAACACAAGTTTGATGATGGTTTAAATTAAGGTGAATAAAGGATCTAGAATACTTGAAGTTATTTACAATAAATACATTACTTTGTCTCCAATTTCAGAAATAAAGATTAATGTGAAGGCAGCAGTGAAGCCCGACTTTGCTATTGCTGCTAAGAGTGATGCAGGTCCACCTTTTGCAAAGGCAATTAGTGATAACACTAGAGTACACCCCAATAGCACAATGGCCACTGAAAAAGGGTAAGGAATTTGACTCGGAGGCTTCACCCTGCAAAATAATCAAAGATGTTTATATCGAGAAAGGCTAAAAGTACGGCATGCAGTCAAAAAGCATAGAATTAGATTATATATAAGAAGACCTCGAACTAGGAGTTCACCGTACATTTACGAGCACTGTGAAGTCTAAGATCATCTTTTTAACTCAATGAATGTAGATGAAGGAAAAAGAACTCCACACTAGAATAATTACTTTTATAGTTAAAAATTGTCTAAATGACTGAATTGGTGCTATAAGAGCTTAAAGAAAACAATCCTCAAAAGTCTCGTTAATCGAACATCACTTACGCTTCTGATGAATTGTCATTCTGTAGGCCCTATGCAATACTTTTATGGTTTTCTTTTTCTTCCCTGTCCTCATAACCCCCAGATTCAATACCTACATTAGATGCTCGTGTTCCGAATGTGCTGCACGTTGAACTCAATCTCGAAATTTTTCTGCATTGTACTAGAAAAAAGTTACAGAAATTAACTAATGATTATGTGTCTAACAAAACCTGAACAGAATTATCATCGTGTATGGACATAAATTCCAACCGTTCACAATGAATACACCGATTTAATGCATCATATAAAGAAAATTTACGAAAAGGAAACTGCTAAGAGCATTCTGAGTTCAATTCAACAAAACTATAGCCTAATCAGCATGAGATAGGAGAAGGGGTTGTCGATGTTGAGACCGAACCCCGGATTTGCGGACTTGTTTGGGTACCACCTCTTAAGGGCGACTGCATGAACAAACTAAGCTTTGTCACACAACAGTCATTAGATGTTTGATAAGTACATGGAAGGCAATGCATTCTGATCAAGCACACGCCTTATCCTCTAAACAAAGCCAAAGACCACAAAAACCCCAAAGTCTATTTATGCATAACTCCGAAACTGGTTCACTCACTCTAACTTAGCTCCAATTTTTCCAGCCAAATTAAGTCAACAGAAACTTGAAAAACACCTAAATTCAACTCAATACATAAAATAAAATCCATCCAAAATGTTCTTTCTGAAGTAAAAAATTGAATCCTTCCATGAATCCCGTCACAAAAAAAAAGACGTAAAATTTACCTTGTAAAAACACAAAGAAAACAAGAGGAGGAAGATAGAGTGGAAGACTTACACGAAGGAGAAAAGGGTACTCTGGAAGTGCTATGAACAGATGGAAATGAATCCACAAGAACCAACAAGGGAAGTTTCCCTCTTGAAATCACTGGCGGTGTATGACGAACAACTAATTTTTGCATATTTTTTTCAATAGTTCAAAGAGAATTATATAAAAAGAGTAACTTTCTATAAGTTCATTTCACTTGTTTGCTCTAATTCCATATTACAATGAATCCTTCTTTTATTTTGCTTGTAAAAGAATCTGAAGCGAACAAGAAGAGTTTGATGTCAAGAGATTGAACACAGAGAAAGAGCTGTTGCCCGGTTAGAAAGCTCTCGCTGGATGCCACGTGTGTTTTTGAGTTAGATAAAATGGGAGGGTTGTAAAAATTATGGACCTTTAAACGACGTCGTTCCCCATGGCATGACATCAGCTTTTGCTTTGGTAACTTAGGAGGATCTAATGTTTTTTATGGGTTAATTGTATTATAGTCATTAAGGTTGTAACATTTTGGTCATTTGCTCATTGAATTAATATCGAGTTGACTTATAATATTAATTCAATTAATGATTTTATTAATAGTATAAGAGTTTATTAGATTACATTAACAATTGTTTTGTATATATTTATTGAGAGCCAACAGCACGGACAAGAAGTTGAACACCTAAGGTAAATGCATGCTATTTTAAGGACTGAGAGTAATCAGAAATTCAGACATTACAAATTGAAGTTAGAGACACTAAATTATTAAGGAAGATATGGTATAATCTCACTACTTGTAGAACCACCAACTCCATGTCCACCTCCACTTATTCCAGGAAAACCACCTAAACCATCTGGACCTCCAACTCCGCTGCTACCTCCACAGCCTAAACCACCTTGACCGTTGTCTCCACCGCCAGTTCCACTACCTAGAGTAGACTTCCAACTCCGCTTCCAGTTCCACCGCCTAAACCACATAGACCTCCAAGTCCGCCTCCGAAACCGCCTAGATCACCGATGCCTTTGTAACCACCAATTCCAGCTACACCACCGATGCCACCAAATTTTCCGATCCCACCGAGACCCCCGTCGACACCCGCAAAGCCTCCCATCCCAGCAAATCCACCAACTCCACCATATACAAAATGGTTCTCGTCATCAATGCCATTCACCTTGGGTGAGTCCGCCGCGGGCGCATTGGCTTGCATCGCTTGTTCCATCTCGAGAGAGGATTTTTTTTGAAATCGGCGTCAGACCAGAGAGTTAAGTAGATTAAAACATGAGAAAATTTAAGGTTGTCTTGTGTTGTGTCATCCAAGAAGTGCCGAATTGCTTTGTGTTGCGACCAGTGTATACCAATCACTGGTCATGAATGTCTTTCTTCGATGAATCTTATGAAACAGAGAAGTAAGGTTCTAACAAATTTAAAGTTAAGACGAGTTTAATTTAAAGATCTAATTAAACATTCAAAACACTAACATAAGGTTTCGTCGATTTCCCTTTAAACTCCTTAACTTCGCTAATTGAGTTCACATCCAAATGCTTCAAAACCCTAGCTTCTTCATTAAATTTTACTGCAATCGGATCCAGAATATCATAACGGATGTTATTTCTTTCCAACACTTGTGAACTTTTATTAATACGATAACACAATTTTTACAATAAGGAATTATTCTTCAAATTTGGAATGGGAAGTTGTTGCCTTTACACAACTTGTGCATATACACTTTGCGTGTTCCCATCACTGAAGAAATGAATTGTTCTAAACTATACTTTAGGTAGCAACATGTATGTGTTTTCCCTCACATAACAGAATTGCCATTCCCCATTGTTCCATCTTTCTATCAAACTCTTTGTTTTTACATCAATCTCTACATTTTCTATCTTCTTTGAGATGGATTTCAAACCTTCCAGCGAATGTGATCACTCATCCTATAGATATCGACTAGGTTGAAGGGAAATGTTGTGAAGATTGTGGAGGGAAGATCCCGGTCTCCGATGGTGCCTTTGCTTGTGAACACTGCGACGTTTGCCTGCACAAATCATGTGCTGTTAAAAAGCGCCGTCGTCTGTCTCAAGAGATTACGCACCCCCTCCACCTGCAGTATGGACTTCAACTCCAATGGCTTTTTAGGGATTTTATTTGTGATAAATGTTTGTATATATCTGATGGATATAGATATGGATGTGTTTCCTGCCATTTCAATCTTGATCTCGCCTGTGCTTCTTCGGCTAGTGGTGAGCTTCCTAAAGATGAAGAGCAGCTGAGGTTTAAAGATGGGAAGAAAAAGACAATCCAGCATTACAGCATTTCAGCGAGAACCTCGCTTTGAATTGGTCGCCTCGCACCTCACTGCCTCCAATTTTTCTCTCTTTTCTTCTCTAAATGTCTGTATTAAATTAAGTTTGATTTAATTGTTTTTTTCCTTCTTCTCTTGTTCAAATAATTAAATTGTTTTACGTAAATATAAAATTTTAAGAATGTTAACTACAAGCTTCGTGAATGGACACGTGTACGTTATCTCTTTGTTGCCACATTTTCGTACCTTTTGATGTGGATCGAATTTGGTGGTTAGGTGTATTTTATTATATGGGTTAAATTCGCCACAAGGCTCCATTCTATCTTTTAGATTTTAAATTGGTCCCTAAATTTCATAACGTTCTAACTAAATCCCTTATGTATTGATATTGTATCAATCATATACTTCATTATGTAGAGCCATCAATTTAGAAGTTAAATGCAGGTCAGATATGACACAGTATATTTAAAATATATAAATTCAATGATAAATTATGTGTGTACTTATTGTACTAATAATTTGGATAAGATATAAAAAAAACAATCTCTTTGAAATTTATGAGACTTTTTTTTTTATTTCAAAAAACTATATCCAGACTCTTTATATAATTATTATACACAGTGTTTATAATTTGATCTACATATTTCAAATATGTTACTCATTATATTTGAGTTAACATTAAAGGCTACGATAAAAATTAAATCGGAAGAAAAATCTAATTAATATGATATTAATACTTTAATGAATCAATTAAAATATTAAAGTTTAAGAATTAAATTAAAATATGAGTCATAATTTATGGATGTTTGATCCAATTAACCCCTAATATGATATTTTATTATATAATGAATTAAATGTTATTTTATAGCAGTGAAATTGTTTTAAAATGTTTATATTAACTAAAAACTAAATTGTATTTTATTAATAAAAATATTATTTTACCAACAACCAGTTCCCTTAAGTAAGATCAAGGGTTCGAATCATGATGTTTTGCGAATGAAGTAAATTGAGTTGGGAGGGTTACCATAGCCTTTACAGTATCTGATCTAGATTAGTCGATCAATAGATGGGATATCGATGGTTATACTAAAAATAAAAACATTATTTTATACTATTTGACGGGAAAAAATTAACATTATTAATGGTTGGACTTTAATCGAAATGGTATAAGGATTCAATGCTTCCAATAAGAACTAAATTTCAAAAAGTGGTGAAATACATTAACCTACTTTTTGTACTTTGAAATAAATATTTTGTTGATAGCTATCACATATGGTAGTTAATAATTTCTCATAAATATATATATTTATTCATTAATAGAATATGTAAAATGCATGTGAGTATGTGACAAAAAATTTAAGAAAATAATAATTTAAATTTAAAATAATTTAAAAAAAAATATCTAAACACAAAAAATATGTTTTAAAATGAATTTATTATATTAAATTTCTTGAATTTAAATAAAATAATTTGGATATATTTAAAACAAGTTTGACAGGATTTGTAAGTCTCTAGGACCAACATAAAATTTTATGTCCATTATGAATTTTTAAAAAGTTATTTTATAAATTTAGGAGATACAAGATTATAAAATTATAAAGATGCGAAGTTAGAGTATCAATAAAAAAAATACAAAAAAAATCTAAACTATTCGAGAATTTAAAATTGTCAAGGATGCAACCGCTCTTAAAATCGGTCCATCATTAATCCTCTACATCGATCAAGTTAGCGGTAGCTAAATTAACATTTAGGGATCGATCATAAGCCAATGATGAATCTGGGATCGATCTCTTGCAGAAAAGGATCGATCCCCTATCCCCTATAATGATAGAGGGACAACATTGCTGATTTTAACCATCATTTATAATACTCTTGTCTCTGCTACAATAGAGATAGAAAGGGGTAAACCGTTTTCAAGCTTATTAGAACAATACAACATCAGAAAAAAAGTGATATGATCATTGTGTAGTCCTTCCTAAAATGGAAATATGAATGCCATCACATAATAAACACCAAAGAAACTGTACTTATTTGTAACCCTCTGTAAATCAATAACAAAAAGTCGATGCTGCTCATAAAAAGTATGAAGCAGTCACGACGAGGAATAGCATGTGATAACTTACACTCATCTTGGAAACCAGACTAGCCGCACTGGTGGTAGAAGTAGCGGTAGCATAGTTTCCTTCAGCTGTGCTGGTTGTCAGAACAACGACGATCCAGTCTCCGTCTGAACCGATCCCGATTCCTGTATACTTGGTTTCGTTGAGATTGTCGGAGTATTGAGACTGCGTAAAGTTAGTGAGCACAACGCTTGGAACTAGATTCGGGACGCAAGCAGGCATTACTGCTCCATCCCTTGTGACTGAGACGTTCAAATGGCATTTGGCTAAAAGGTTTGCATAGTTGGGAAACTGTGGTTCGGTGCCTGGAACTGTGTTGGCACCAGTGGAGTTTGTGCAAGGTTGGTTCTTGAATTCATCGGCTAGTTCATCAGCAAGGCAATCAGCGTTCTCGTTTTTCGTTAGGGTCATCAAGTTTAATGAAGCACGATAAGCATTGATGCTTTTAAGAAGATCATCCTCCTTATCTGTTGATTGTCAACAAGAAATCCGGTGATTAGATACGTATTGGAGTTGCTAACAAAGTAAGATCAAATTTCTGAAAAACTAAACAAAAGACAGACATTGCAACTCAAAGTCGAACCAGTTAATCCATAACAAGGCCAGATTGTTCCAGATTCTTGCTTAACTAGACAAACCTCATCAGTAATCTTACCGTATCGGAGAACAACATTTCTTATTCAATACAAGTCATTCAACTTGACATACACTAATGTCATGAATGACATTTCAGAATACAGGAACCAGTACTGTTTTCTGCAGTCAGATAGCAGCACAAAAGCTTCTAGTTCCAAGAGGAAAGTGTAGGACTGAAAATCTCAAAACCAGATTCTGGGGATGTGGCAGCACTAATGCAGCTTGGAACTCTTCATTTTTCTTAAAGTATCCGATACATTCTCTTATCGGACACTCACATCTGAGTTCGAGTAACACAGAGCAGCACAGTGTACTTTTACAAGAATCGAGAGAAAAACAATAGCACAGTCGACCTTCTAAAGACTCTCACGTACCAAATATGTCAAAATGATAACAAGTTTGATCAATTAGGGCCTAAATGAACCCTCATGTTAGCTCATGCGAGCCTAATTCCAATTGGTGATCTCAAGCAATATATTTGAACACACACGCGCGCAAATTATCATGCGGTACAATCTATCCATCCATGACTACACATTGCTACTTTGGTTAGAAACAAAATGGAAAAGCTATTACGATGTTGTCTATAACTACCCACGGTTGTTCTAATTAGTTATGCTCGATTTTCTCATCAACAGAAGAAACCAAAACAGTGTTCTACCTAAAATTTTCTTAGTATGGGCTGTTTTCTGGATCATTGGCATGGCCTTCGAACAAAGTTTCGAAAGTCGAGAGTGGAACCTATTACCTCGATTTTCTTCAAGTGACTAAGATAACCCTAATTGTGAACTTCCATGAGTTGCCAGACTAATATACATTTCCAACTAGCATTAACACCGGATCTATTCGATATCAGTTAGATCAAGTTGTCATCTAGTTTTACGTTTTAATCCAATCAAAGAACAAGAAACAAGGAATGATGACAAGCAGGATGAACTGCAACCATCCATGATATTCAGAAAAGAAAAACCAAAATGCTATAACAGAACATCACTTGAAACACATTTAGATTTATAATTAGACAAATAACACACACACACACAAAAACACATACATACATACATACATATAATTCTACAAGATGCATCCAAATGAGTTCTAAATTGGGTTCATGAATATGGATTAACAACTGAAAAATCACTTAACAAGGAAAGATAACACAAATTTCAGAGAAATCAACAAGGTCAATGATAAAAAGAGAAAAAAAACAGTGCTTGAGCAACAAAGCAAAAACCCAGATCAGGAAATTAAAAAGAAATGTTTACCAGCTTCACAGAAGAAAGGGGAACTGATGAAGAGAATGGAAAGGAACAATGGGAATAAAAATGAAATCTTTGAAGATGCCATTGCTCGATTCTGATGAGATATTGAGATGGGGAGTTTTGTCTGAAAGGAGAGGGGGAGACCAAGAGGGACCGACACAGATCACAACAGGGTTTTTCAAACCGCGCCCATTCAATTTTTTCTTTTGGTACTAAACAAAATTTAATATTTATTTATTTATCTTACCTTGAAAGAGCACATGCAGTACTTTAATTTTATGTTTTATTAAAGGGTAAACTACACTTTTAGTATTTCAACTATCATTTTTGTTTCATGTTTATCATTTAACTATTTTCTATTTCAAAATCATGTATAACATTATATTTTAGTTTCATTTTCATCATCTGTCGTAAAAAAAAATAACATAATTATTAACGTGGCATTTTTAAATTTTTCAATGATGATGTAGCATTATCTTATGGTGACACATCAGCATCATCATTATTTTTTTAACAATAGGTAACTACAATAAAATCAAAACCTAACATTGATATGCTTTTAAAACAAAAAATAGTTGAATGATTAAAATGAAACAAAAATAATAATTGAAATACTAAACATATAATTTACCTTTTATTAAATTATTAAGATCCAATTTGATAGATACTAATTATATATTCATTAGATGAATAAATTTTTAATTCAATTTTTTCATTTGTTTTAGTTTAAAATTCAAATCTTTAATTTTATTTAAAGACTTAAAATATCATCTCATTATACTAAATATTAATTAATTATATCAAATAATATTTTAATTTTATTTATATTTTAAAATTTAATTAACAGTTATGTGTCACGTGGTTTGGTTAAGTAGTACTATTTTTTTTTGAATAATTTTCGTCATATGTCGTTAATTATTATTAAAATTATAAATGAACTATTAAATTTTAAAAAATACAAAAACATCACTCTATTTACGATGATAATAAACAAATCACTTTATCGATATACTTGTAAATATTTTATTTTTAAAAACTTTTTTTTTAAAAATAATTAGGGATGGCAACAGGCCGGATTCGGGCCGGGCATTGGTCCCCGTATTCGTCCCTATTTAAAAAACCCGTACTCGTCCCCGCTTAAAAAATAGCGGAGATTTAAACGGGGATCCCCATCGGGTAATCGGAGAAAATTGCGGGAAAACGGGTATTCCCGTTTAGCATAAACGGTTATTTAAACGGGTATCGGGCCAGGTATATATATATATATATATTAATTTAAATTAAATTTATTAATATTATATATATATATATATATATATAATAATTATTTTTAATATTTATTGGGCCGGGTAATCGGGTAATCGGGGCGGAGATTACCAAACCCGTCCCCGTTTAGCATAAACGGCTTTTCCCGTCCCTATTTAATTTAGTTTTCGATTTTCCCCGTCTGATTCAGATTTTTTCCATCCCTAAAGATAATATTATAAATATATTTTATATTTTTAAATAATATTTGATTTATTAAATAATATAATTTATACGATTAGAGAAGATCATTTAAATTACAATCAACATGTATCATACTATTATAAATAATTACAAACAATTTTGAAGAGAAGCCCCAACAATTCAACTCAAATTTTATAAATTTGACTTGAAAATTTTGAAATAAAATTATAAAATTTAAATCATAATATAAAAACTAATTCAAAATTTTTTAACTCAACTCAACTCAATTAAATACTTACTCGTATATATCACATCTCAAAACCTACCGAAAATAATCTTAACCTAATCATATACTTTAGTACCCAAACCAATCCTCTGATCTTACCTTACGACCAAACTTAATTACCATTTAAGCAACTTTAATTCTCTAATAAACCTCATACTAAGTCATAATAGTGCGTTAGAAATAACTTTTAAAGATTGTATAATTATATTAGGAATAAATATCAAATCTACACACAAACTTTGATCTAATGTGCAATTTGATACATGGACTTCAATTCAGTGTAATTATACACAAGAAACTATCTTAAAAGAATGATAATTACATATTTATCCCCCAAGGATACCCAACCAAAGGTATAATTTGTCCTACAACTTGGTTCCCAAAATTAGGGTTCTTCAATCAATATCAACCATCTGAAAAAGGGGGTTTTCCTTCATAATCTAACACTGCAAAATGATAGACCAACTTGAGATCTTATGCCAAAAAACACTGTTAACTTGCTCTATGTTCCGTATAGGTGGTGTATAAATTAGAATCTTCAACAATGGATCACAACTTTGCTTCGTATGTCGATGAGTCGAATGTGCTATTAATAGAATGCTTGAGGAACACTGCATAGAATAGCTCGTTCCACGAGTCGGGTACTCCGGGAAGGCACCAATGACTGCAGTCCTGCCGATGAATCGGAGCGGGACTTTCCTTGGGACCTAAGTAATATAGCGATGCATGACCATCTTTCCTCGGTGCTGTCATTTGAGTGACGTTTAATATGTCGAGTTTTATTCCATTAGATGAATTCGAGTGAACTGATAACACGTCCTTCACGGTTTCGAGAAATTCCCAAGTTTCTGTTGGAACTGACGGCGTTCCCAGCTCTGGCAGCGTCTCTAGGTGGCAGCTTCCCCCGGTTTTCCAATCTCCTCTGCAAAAGTCACCATTTCAGTTTTGCATATGAGTGTTCATGATGAACAGAGACCAAATGGGAAAGCAAAATCATGCCGCAAACTTTACGGTCGATTTTCAACCTCAAATGTTCGATTGTTCAAAACAAGGATGTCAAAATACGGATATGCAGAGGTCGAAACAAGCAAGCGTACAAATTAGTAAAACTAAAACGAACCTGAAATGCACGGGAGCGAATGTGCGGAAGTAGACCTTGGTCTTACTTGTGTTCACCTCATTACGTATCCACCGCATCACAGTCTCTAAAGACCTCCGATATGCATGTTCTACGGTCATCTCGGTTTCGATTTTCTTCCTTTCTTGAAAGAAACATCCCCTGACGCACACAAATAAAAATGTTTAAGATCAGATTATGGCAGTTCCTTTCATCTATTACATCAAGCAAACATGAATGTATATGATTATTACAAGCACCGACTCTTGTTTCGAACTGTTCCCTCCTTCTATGTTAGCTGCGACTACGGCCGTAATAGCCCTACTATGATAGAAGCAGAGTTCATACTTGCAAGTACTACAGCAACTTATCTCCATTATATAACAATATAGCTTACATTCTAATGGTCTTCTCATGGTTCCACCAATGAGCGGTGTTGAAGACCAAGAAATCCGCATCTTTCCACCTAATAGAATTCCAATCCATTTGATCCAACTTGAGGGTTGTCTTGATGTATTGTGGAGACCCGGGAGGCGGCCTGCTCTGTAAGACGAGGAAAGGGGATCGGTAGTACTCCACGGTGCAATTATAATCCTTGAACTTGAACACCAAGAACCCTTTATGCTTCGTGATCGGATTGCCATTCACTTCGTATATCGAATCTTTATTATCGACAGCGGAAGCAAGCATGCAGAGGAGTGATTCCCATTGGTTTCTTCCGATCGAATCACCGATGAACACCAAGCGCTTGTTCCGCAACTTCTCCAACATCACCTTCCCATCAAATCTGTTTGATCAATGCAAACAACACATAAATCGAGTATTGATGGAAGATAAGTTGAATGTGACAGACAATTCAGTCACTCGGTTAACTAGGAGCTTGAAAAAGAACCGAAATGAACAATTGATGAAATTGGCAAGAAAGTAACAAGACAAAAACCTTAACAAAAAAGGCAGTCATTTTCATTGGACATATAGGGATGGTACTAAATCGATGGAAGGTCTCGTAATTTGCCACATTATAACGATTTTCAAAATCATCCTAATACCGTAATCACATCTATTATTTAATACTACGCATGTAAGGTCTATGACTAGTAACTAAACCAACAACAGTAATACAAACAAATATCAAATTCAAAGAGGAAAATAGGAACCTGGGGAGGTTACAATGCTTAGGCTGCCATCTCCACTTGGTGTAGAACAAATCTGGCCGTCCATTTTCAGTACACCTAAACCCTTCATCAAGAAAGCTGCAATCTTCGGATTCATAAAGAGGGTACCTTTCATCCCAGACCCAATCACCATCGAACACGTCACACCCTTCACCTTCAGTGCTCAAGAAATCATCTATTTTAATCTCACTTATCGATGAAGAAGAAGACTCATCTAGTTTAAGCCACATGAATCTTTCACCCTGATTAGGAACCATATACCCTTTAGCCACAGCTCTATAATCCAAGTAGAAGAAGCAACAAATCACACAAACGGCAACGAGGAAGAAGCCTAGAACACCCACAGATGATTCGAAGAGTTTGAAATGTTTGAACCTTGTGCAAAGATCGAAACTTGGCATGGTTTCATGGTCTTGTTGAACCGGAACTTTACACATTTGGATCATTAAGAGGGAACTGAAATCCGGGTTGTGTTTATTTTCAAAAACTTAAGAGAAAAAAGGGGGCTAAAGGTGTGCTTTTCAAGCAAAATAACGGTGGTGAACCATGTTTCTGTGCTTTTCCTTTGCTTGGTGGGGCAGTTTTGTTTAAAGTTATAAATGATGGGCAACAAGAAAGAGGAAGAGAGAGAGAAAAACGGGTAACACAAAACAGAGGAAAAGGTGTCAAGGAAGCAAGGGAGCGTTCATGGTGGAGTTAAAGAATTAAAAATATTATATAAACTACTGGTAAAATGGATTAATTTCGAGTTCAAGACTCAAAAACAAGAAGAGAAATCACAGGAAATTTAGGGAGTTTAGAAACAAGAAGAGAGGATTTATGGGATGAAAAACATGGGGTGGCCAAGGTTTTGAGTTGCAGTTTCTTTTTTGAAGTAAATTAGTGGGGGAGAGGGGGAGGTAACGGATAGGATAGAATTAATTACAACTATAATTTGATCCTTTTTAATTTATATAATTTGAACCTTTTGGATTTAATCCTTCTAATATAATTTGATGCCTTTTGGTGTCATGCACTTTTTTATTTGTATTTTAATTTTTTAAATTTATAAGTACAATCGAGGAAAAATATTTGATTTGAATATGACGAGTATTGATTATTGAATCTATTCGATTTTATAAGATTTTTTTTAAAAAGAATTAGGATATAATTTTTTTAAAAATAAAGTCGGATGAGTTAAAATTTACAAAGAAAAATCTTTGATATGAAATAATAGTATATTTTTTTATAATTTTAAAATAATTACAAAAATATTATTCTCTTTATATATTTTTAAATTAGATCATCATTTTACTATATAAAATAAGAATTGTGTGTACCAGTATTTACCCTTAAAAATTAAATCAGATTATAAATAAAGATTATAACACTTATATCAAATTCAATTCGTCCGAAAATCTAACCCTATTTAACTCATAACTATCCCTAAGTACATTTATAAGTGCAAGTAATACTTTACCAAACAAACTACAATCAAAATTTATTATTGCAAATCACATTCAAATTAATTATGTAAATATATTAAAGTCAATTTAAAAAATATCATAAATTAGTTAATTAGCAAAGTTCTTAGAAAAAAACTTTAAAGTCGTCCATTTCTTTTTTTATTCTTGATTAATAGGCAGCAACACTGATTTTAGTATTGGTCGTTGTCATTAATATTTTGTTTTTGTTCTCTTATATCATATCTTAATTTTTTTAATGTTGTTTTTGTTCTCTTATATCATATCTTATTTTTTTTTAATTTTTAGTAACTCGACTTTGTGACATATTTTCTATATCTTTACCATATGTGTTCCTCTATCATTTAGTAGGTTTTCGGTCATTATTTTAATTTTTTTATCGTTTAGTCATTTGGTATATCTTTCTCACTATCATTTTTAATTTTTATTAGTGATCTTTCAATAATTTGATCTCTTTTGTGATTTTTATCGATATAATCACATATATTCATATTTAGCTTTTATTTAAGTTTTTGGATTAATTCTTTAACTTTTTTTTGGTGTGGTCATTGAGTGATCTTAAATAATTAGTTTTTTTTTTATGTAAATGAATATAAGAAAAATCTTAATTATGCATTACTTTAATATTATATTTATAAACCTTAATTATAATTATAGATATTTCATTTTTTAATAAAACTATTGAATTTTATTTTTTAAAAAATCATTAGATACATTGATAATGGATAAAATCGTTGTCCATCTACGAAACAAAGAGATGGCGTATGGGCAATGTATCACCAAAAGATGGAGCAGACTCCACAATTTATGCTTTGCCTTCACAAAATCAAACTGACGAAAATCATTGGCAACCGGATTCATGTTCCAGACAAAAGAAAGAAACAAAGGTCTGGGCAAGAGAAGGATGGCATGCCCACATTTATCATCAAACTGTAGATTACATACGCAACGGACGGTCATGGCAGCACTTCTTTTCACTTTTCTACTTAAAAAAGGCTATCAAAGCATTTCAAGAGTTAAAAAGAAAATAAAAAATGGTAAAGTATATAAATGGTTCCGACTATATAAAACTATTTTATTGAATCTCTATCTATTAAATGTTACAAAATAATCTTCCGATTATGGAATGTTTTTTATTAAGTTCTTCATTTATTAAAATTACAAAATAATCACTTGACTATTCATATATTCTAAATTCATCATTTTTCGTTAAAAAAATTGTGATCGTCTAAACTAGACGTAAACTTGTTAATTGAGATATGATAACATCTGATCTCAGAACCGTTTGAGTTGTATTTTAGAAAAATATTCTCGTTTACATTATGTCATTGAGTCAAGGCTGAGCTTAAAAACAAAGATGGTGTCAGTAGACATCATTAAAAACTGATTTTATCATATTTCAACCAACAAATTAAATTCCAACTCAAATGGACGTTAATTTTTTAACAAAAAATGACAAGTTTGAAACATATGAATAGTTGAGAAATTATTTTGTAACTTTTAACAATTAAAGTACTCAACAAAACAGAGTACCCAATAACCAGAAGACCATTTGTGTACTTTATAAAAAAATTCATTTTAAGGTTAATTGCATCCAATATTCTTAAATTATTGTAGATATTATAAATTAATTTCTAAGTTCTAAAACATTTAAACTTAGTCATTAAAGTATCAATATTACATTAATCGATTTTTTGTTAACCTAATTGTTAATTTAAATGTTATTTAACTATCAGTTTAAAACTATAATTCCAAGACGAAAGGGAGGGTGAGAATATCACGCCTTGCTCTCCAAAGGGATCTCGATTAGGGATGGTAATAGGTAGAGTCAGGTCGGATTTTTAGTCAAATTGAAAATTTTAGTTCTTTTACCTGAACTCGGTTTGAGTTTAAAGATATTTCACTCCACTCAAATTTTGAGAGTAATAACATACATTTGACACAATCCGACACAAATATAAATATATATAAAATTCTTATTTTTATTCCATAAAATAAAAACACATTTGAATATATATATATATATATAGAGAGAGAAGGGTATTATAGCAATTATTTTTAAATTTATATAAGAAAAATATACTATTACCTTAGATTGAGTCCAGAAGATTTTTCACCTAAAGCCGAACTCAACCTCAGCCTTTATAAAATATAAAAAGATCCAAACTCAATTTCTTTTAGGAAAACAATCCTATCATGTCAGGTCGGAAAATGTAACATTCAAGTCAAATTATCATCCTTAAAACTGATAGAATATATTAATCTCACAAAAATTGATAGAATTTAGAAACAATGGTGACATTATATATCTAATATCCTATAAAACACTCTTTTAAGAATAGAGCAATGACCAACAACATATGGATTGAATTGTAGACATACTTGCAGCCCTCGAAATATCACATCTGTTAATGCACAAAGTATACACGTCTTTACAGTTTAATCCACGTATTAGATTTGAACATATATTTAATGTTGAAGCTAATGAAATGCTAAGAGAAGGACTTAATTGATATGATTATGATGATCTGAAGACTCAATTAGAGCATTTTGAAGTTTGAAAACTGATTTAGATTCAAAACCATAGTTCCAAGACGACCAATGCAATTAACCCAATCATTGTATTCAAAAGCTTGCTTCCAAAGCTCGAAAAACTCCATTATTGACTGGTTTTTAACTAGGGTTTTCAAACCATAATTGTAACCCGATCAATTCATAGAAACACAGTAAAGTACAGAACAAAGAACTTGAACAATCACCATTCTAAACAAGTATGAACAAACAGTGATCAATTGCAACAAAAGCCCAATTTATCTGTTCAGAATCTGAAGAAGAAGAAAAAACCTGGGTTTTATGAATGCTGCTGATTTGGGGGTTCCTTTTCTGGAGAAGGTTGTTGAAGAGCTTCAATTTCTTGAGCTTTTTCGAGAAAGGGTTTGAACCCGAGCTGTAGGGTCAAGTACCCGAACGCTAAGGATCCGATTACGACTACGGCTGATCTCACCGCGTTGGACTTTGCAGTTCCCTTCATTTTCTTCTTCTTCTCCCACTCCCTTCTCCTCCGCCTCTGTTCCTGATTTTTATTCTTATAGGTTAACATTGGGTCAAATTTGTAGAAAGTGTATGTAGTATGCATTTGTTAGATTTTAGTCCCTTTAGTAATTACATTGGCTATTTTTTAGTTAATTGCACCAGTCTTCCTAAACTATGGATTGTATTTCAAATTGATCCTCTAACTTCAAAATATTCTAATTAAATCCTCAAATTCTAAAAAATTTATTCCAATCATGTCATTTCGTTTCGTTGGCATAGATGCCATTTGGGCGTTAAATGACAGTTTAGATTTGATGCAGAACATATTTAAAAAGTATAGATCAAATTTGAGGATGTTTGATAATCCGGAGTAGAAATAATAAAATTACTATAAAAGGATTGAATTCACCAAAAATACATAGTGTTTGATGGCCTTCATCTTCTATCTGGTTCCATTTGTAACATTGTATATTCTGTTTTAGAGATACTAATGATGAGCCTGCTTTCGTATCTACAAACAACCCTGGAGATTAATTGAATGCGCAGGGAGCGGATTTGTCGCATGTTTTCTGTACATAAGGTGCTGCCCTGCCACAGTTCTAAAAAGCTATAGTCCTGAATTAATTGTGCACCCCATTTTAGAATTGTCGTTAGCATTAGGTGGATTCGGATTTGGCATTTATTGTGAATAAATCAAATAAGTATGTTTTGGCAGACCAAAAGATAAATATTGTGTTATACTTAGAAGTTAGAACTTCTTTACATTAAAAACAAGCATCTTTGAAATATTACACAATATATATAGGGAGTAACTAAATTGTAATGCAATATAGCATAGCAATGCACTAATATGTCGTAGAATTCAATCACATACTAATAATACTATGGGTATGATGATCAATTCACTTGCAGTCCTTGAAGCTCTTAAGTAGATCTTGCGTTTACATTTACGAATCCGAAGGTGGTTGCTGCTGTTGTGGCGGCCATACCGGCTGACCAGCATAAGGGGGAGGGTTTTGGCCATAGAAGGCATGGTCCATCAGTGGCTTACCAACAGTCATACCCGGAGCACCAGCCTGGGGAGCAAGTTGAGGTGGCATGTAATAGTAAGGAAGACCATCGACTGGACCTTCAACTCTTGGAACAGATGCAAGAACCTCCTCTTTTATATCCTCTCTTGGGATGATATCGACCAGAAAATCAAATATATCGGTCCTTGTAATTGCTGCTCCGATGTCGTTTTTCTGAAGGGTCCTCCTCTTATTTTCCTCGGTGTGATTCCATGACCTCAGTGTCAACTCTAGAATGAACATTTCACAGGCCCTAGCAAATACTACCGGAGCTTCAGCGGATATCATCCTAACATCCTCATCTGCCTTCATAATCTTCTTGATCCTGGCCAATGGTAGGCTATGGTTTCTAAAATCAGTAGCCTGCTCGATTTCTTGATACTGGTTTGACCAAAAGCGCTGGAGGTGTTGCTGCAATTGCAGCTGCTGTTGTTGGTGTATGTGCTGATAAGCAAGTTGGTGTTGTGCCAGCTGAGTTGACGGTGCAGAGTTGCCTGCAGGCTGAGTAGGGTATTGGATTGAACCACCCGGTCCGGGAGCCGAGGTTCCCATCATTTGATTAGGTTGATAACTTGTTATACCATACGGAACCGCTGCTGAACTACCAACTATGCCCGTTGCAGAGGTCTGCCCATGCCCTTGCTGATCCATATTGGTTGGTCTAGATTGACTAGGAGGTACCAAGCAATAATTAATAAACCATTACGCATTTATAACAGAAAATAAATAGATTGATTTCCAGAACCTGGAAACAATGATGGCAAAAGATTGTTTCAACAACTGCATCACCATAAACTAATATCCTAAAAGGAAATAAAAAAAAGTATAGAAAAATGGATTTCCAGAACGAGGAAAACGGGAATATGAATCGCCCTTCATCTTTTAGGAAATCAAATTACCCAAATGTATTTTTCTTTATTGAACTAAATCATACTCAACAGTGGAAAAAAATGGTAAGAAAAGTGGACAATCAAGATATTTCCAGTATTTAACCAGTAAAAACTCGACCGTAAAAAACCCTAGCTAATGAATGATTTGCAAAAGGACTCCCTACATCGCCAATCGTCAAGTTGTTCAGAAAGGATTTAGTTCAATTGGTTCATATAGCCACCTCTACAAGGTGGCATCAAGCTATCCTTTGTAACAAACAATAATTACTACAGAAAACTTTTCCAACTTCAATTAAGCGTTTGCTGGTTATAGCTATGATAACAGATTAAACTCGGACAAAATGGCTCAATACATTTGACAATAAATGAAGCAATATTGATGGTAGAGTTATATAACTGTTGTTAGATTGTAAATTCCACAAACATGACAGCCAAGGAATCATCATAATTCATAATCCAAAGCATGAAACCAATACAAAAATTCTAAAATAACATAAAATTCAATTTGAATCGTTCAAGAATAAAAACTCCAAAACAAAAACAAGCACATAAATTACAATTCATTTCCCATATGTAAGCATACAAAAATACATATATAGGCATAGAGAACCGTATAAAATACCACAATATAAACACGCCTAATACAACATCTTGCTTCATAGGTCATCTTACCGCGTCAATTACGAAGCAAAGTCAAATTGCTTCCTCGAATTCTATATTTAAGAAAATAGCTAAGAGAAATCATCAAAATAATGACAAATTAAACGATGATCGAAGGAATAAACTGAGCTACAAAAGTAAAAACATGAAAAGAGGGGAAATTATACCTTGTGCTGGTGCTTGTTGTTTGGCTTTGGATCAGTTGATTTTCTTCAGAAATTGGAACCCTAGACGAAGGGGAAAAGGGAGGAAATAATTTGGTGGATTGGTGGAGAAGCTGAAAGTGAAAAACTCTGTTATTATATTATTAAAAGTGAGCACAACTTTCACAATCTCTCCACTTACAACCTAGTTTGACTTTCAGTTTGGCTTTAGGTTTCTTTCTCACTTTCTTGCCCTTCATTTCTTTCTTTTATATATATATATGGGTAAATAACATCATTTCTTATTGAAATATTTTTTTTATTTTATTTAATAAACTTTGAATTTATATAATTTTATTAGTGAAAATAGATAGTTGTGATTAATTTTTTTTATGAATATTTTTTTATTTTTTATTATTAATTTTAATTATCTATTTTCACTCATCAAACTACACGAACCCATGATCATAGGTGAAACTTCAGTCTTTGCCCCCATCAATTTTTTAAATATTAATTAATATTAATATTAATATATATATATATATATATATTTAAAAAATAAAGAAAGAAAATTTTACCTGATCTCCACAATTAAAAAAAATTGTATTTATGAAAAATAAAAAAATATTTTAACCCCGCCTTAATAAATTTATGGATTCAGCCCTACATATGATCTCTAAGAATAACAATGATTTCTTTAATTATTTAGATAAGTTGGTTCGTACTTAAATTCAATTGTTATGTTCATTAAGAGATATTATTTAATATATTTATGACACATATTTTTATTTTTTAAAAAGTAAATGTTTTAGTTATTTTTAGTTGTTCATACTTATTCAATGAACTCAAATATCGATTCAGATGCCAAATTAATTTTCTTCTTTTTCTCTTTCAAATTTACCTTCTTTTAGTTTTATCTGGAATTTTGTAAATCAACCGATAACACTATAAAACGTAGAAAGATAAACTCTTTAATGAAAGTAATTAACAATTTAGGCCAACTAATAATACAATAAAAATAAAAAGATAAGAAATGTAGTAATTTTTTAATAGCGTAGGAGGATTCAAATATAATATTTATTAAAAGAAATAATTATTAATAAAGTTCATACCCTACAATTGTATCTACACGAACTCAGATAATATATTTTTTTATTATTAAGATCATCAAATGGATTCTAAAAAATTAATAACTTTTTAGTAGGTTTAAATAATTATAAGATAATATCTTTTCATAATTTTTTTTAATTATTGTCAACTTATACACCCTATAAACAAAATTATATAAAATCATAACTTTTAAAAAATAATATTCACTTTTATTATTGATTATATATATATATATATATATGGAATGCGTCCCAACTCCTTAGTATTTTTGCTTTGGCTAAATTGCATTTTATATAACTTATTTATTAATAACATTATAAATATGTTATTAATTTTTAAAAAGTTTTGAATTAATTACTTAATTAAATTATTATAAACAAATTATTTTAGCATTAAAAATGAGATGAACGTTAACTCTATAGTTGCAATCAAACCATTTTACTTATCATATAATAATTAGCATGGACGGATGCACTTGACCCTTAGAAGGCCACTCAATTTTTTTTATAGAAAAAAAACCCTCCATTGCATATTTAATGATAGGATGACTTATTTGTAATAATTAATCAAATTTATGTCTGGTTTGTAACTTTTAAAAAGTAGTGATCGATTTGTAATATTTATTAATAATTGGATGGTCTGTTTGATGTAATTTTCCATTTTTTATTTTTCGTTCCTATATTCAAGCTCTTTATAGATTCTTCTAGTTCCGACCAAAAATACAATTAAATATTGCTGATCCTTTTCTTCGGAGAATTTTCGTTTGGAGAGAAAAAAAATGTTAGGAGTGTTTAGCAGCACGATAGTGTCCCCACCGGAAGAGCTGGTGGCTGCCGGTTGCCGGACTCCGTCGCCCAAGATATCAGCGGACGCGCTTATGAAACGGTTCCTCGGGACGAACTCCTCCGCCGTGTCCATGCAGATCGGAGATCATGTCCAGTTCGCTTACTCGCACCAAAACGAATCTGCTTTACAGCCCAGGTAAAATATTCTTCAATATTAAAGTTAAATGGAAGTATTTAAGGTTTCGATTTCTGAAAATATGGCTTCTCGCTGTTTGATCTCTGGATCATTTGATCATCAAATGGTTAAGAATTTGTATTGTTTTAATTTCTTACGAACGAGTTTACGAGGAAAGCGAATCGAATTTTGAACTTCAATTTCTTTGATCATCATCATCATGTCTAGCTTATAGTCTTCTTAATTTGATCAAAATTGTTCAACTATTTGGATAAAATTATAAGCATATATTACTAAAAAGAAAAATAAATTGTTCTTATTGAAAAGCTTGTAGCCTTTTTGTTTTCACTTAATCTCAAGCTTCTCAGTCCGATCTTTACCAAGGAACTGAGTGAATCACTGTGATTAATTTAATCAGATTAATGGATTTATGAGCTGCATGTAGTGTAACGAGTTATTTTTTAAAATTTTGTTATTATTTTTATATAATAATTAAATTATTTATAATTTTTAAATTGATATTATTATATATTCAATGATTAACTATTTATTTATATTTAAAAATTTAAAAAACTATAATATTATATAAATTCAAACATTTACTTTATGTACTAATAAATTTATTATTTTTTAATTTTTAGTGGTTTTTAAAAAAAAATTAACTTCTTCATGTTATGTTAAATATATCATTAATAAAAATGTAAAAATATATTTTAAAATTTATGAATAAATTAGTTTTTAAATGTATTAATTTTAAAATCAGATGAATTGTGTTTTGATCTATGATTTTTTTATTTAAATACTTTTTAGATTCTTTAAACTAAATCCCAATCCTTTTATTTTTAATTTTAAAATTTATCATTTAAATTCTGATTATTATTTTATTTATATTTATATTTGTTCCCTTAAAATTTCATCTTGACTTTACCTCTTATGACATCATATAATTTTATTCTTATATATATTTATCTTATTTATAAAATATTTGATTGAATTAGTGTTATTAGGTAATCTAGAAAAAGATTTTAAAAACAACATATTTTACTATAAGGATTCAGTAATCTTATATCTTTAAAATTGAATAGATCAAATTAAGAAATATCTTATAATAGAATTGAGAAGTTTTAAATTCTTATAATGGAATTAGGAAGCGTGGAGATAACATGGCTGTGATTGCACATTCACGTTTGATTTTTGTTCTTTGGGGACCAAACAAGATAATAAACCCATCTCATGTAAAAGTCTTGTTATCTTTTTATCCTTTTTAAGTGGGGGGGTCCGGTGATTGGTGCATGTGTGGCTATTTGAACATGATTTTAATTGAATCCAGATGGAAAGGTTCCCATTCCTTTCAAATATGGGAATCTCTAGATTCAGTTTAACCATACACGTGTCTAACATCCAGGCATCTGATTGTAACTTGTTAGTGTAGTCCACTCCCCTAGTGCTATTGAAAAGTAGACAGCCTCATTTGCACTGGGAATAAGGTTTGGATTAGTATCCTTCTCCACGGCCAGAGGATTAGTATATGGGGGTGAGAGAAAATATCCCACTAATAATAATAGAAGGTATCTCCCTATTTGCATGTAAGTGGCGTGTGGGCGAGAGCTTTGAATTTATCCTTTAAGAAAAGATAAAGGATAAGGATTGCCCATTTGGATTGGGGCCCATGTTGATGTTTGGGATCAGGGATGAATATTTATTTTAGTCAAATTTAGTCAGAAAATTTTAAGTTAATCTAATTAACGAGTCTTATTTTATAATTTAAATTTTATTTTATTTTTTTAGTCGGATCGAGTTTATGGAATTCAAGTCAAGTCGAGTCAAGTTACTTGAATTTATGTTCAAATGTAAATGTAAATATATATAATGTCCTTGCACTAATTGATTGTAAATTAAACAATTTTCTATAACCATATATGATATACATATACATTTCTTCATATTTTTTCATGTGTTATATATATATCATGTAGAGTTTAGAGATTCGACTCGAACTTAAAAATCAGTGCAATAATTACAAAAAAATCGAGTTATTTAAGTCTTATTTTATAACTTAAACTTTCCTTGAAATTCTTTTAGTCGGGTTGAGTTTATGGAATTATAAGTCAAATAAAGTATTTTAATATCAAGTTTAATAATAAAAAATTTACTTCTTTCGAATTAAATAACCCATAGATTTTGATTGACCTTCTGGTCTGGTATAGTCTTGGTTGTTATAACAATTAATAGAAAATTTTCTCAACGTTGGTTGTTGGACTTGGATAGGTAATTATTATTATTTGAAAAAGTGGATTAGATGATTATCACATGTGTATATTATGAAGTAAATGGCCTAGCTTGCATGGTGGTAATCTTTTTTTTTTTTGGCCGTGTTGGTTAGTGGCAGATCATTCGCTGTAAAAGATGAAATCTTCTGCTTGTTTGAGGGTGCACTCGATAACTTGGGGAGCTTGAAGCAGGAATACGGGCTTGCAAAATCAGCAAATGAGGTGATGCTGTCATTGAAGCTTACAAGGCTCTTCGTGACCGAGCACCTTACCCTCCCAACCATATGGTTGCCCATCTCGACGGATGCTTCTCTTTCATTGTTTTCGACATTTCCACCTCCACCTTGTTTGTGGCTTCAGTAAGTCCCACCACCCAAAAACGATCCAAATTTAAAAAGATTTGAGACCCGAAATGACCCGAACTAGTAACTCAAGAAAACTCAAACATTTGATGGAATGATTTTGACAGGATCAAGCTGGTAAGGTACCTTTTTACTGGGGAATCACGGCCGACGGATACGTGGCCTTTGCCGATAATGCTGATTTGCTTAAAGGTGCCTGTGGCAAATCTCTTGCTTCTTTCCCTCAAGGTGAGTTTGCTAAAACATTGGTTTTTTTTTACAATGAATTTGACAAGCAGTGAATTCATTTTCCCACAGGCTGTTTCTTCTCAACAGCAGTTGGAGAACTTAAGAGCTATGAGAATCCTAAGAACAAGATCACTGCTGTTCCTGCTGAAGAGGAGGAGATGTGGGGAGCTAAATTTAAGGTAACCTGACTATATATGGATATAATAAAACTTAGAAAAGTCTGATCATATGTGTATCGGATATATATTCGTATCGAACATATGAATATATTAATATGACCTCTAAAGATTCAGAAATATCAATACTGTTCAAAATACCAGACATCTATAAATACTGTTCAAAATACCAGACATCTATAAATACTGTTCAAAATACCAGACATCTATAAATACTGTTCAAAATACCATACATCTATAAATACTGTTCAAAATACCAGACATCTATAAATACTGTTCAAAATACCAGACCTCTAAAGCATGATACATATGATGTGATGCCAATTGGAATTCAATCACAAGAAAAGCTGGTTTAAAGCTTCTTTACCTGTTAGGGATAGCAGTAGAAGAAAGAGACCCTATGAATAAAAAAGTAAAGAGATCACTAAAATGTGTACTTAAATGACAATTTCACGATACATAAGTTTGTTTTTTCAGAATAATACTCATTTACCTGCTAATTCAAATTAGAAACTGCTTAATCATATTACGGGACAATTCTTCCAATAGCGATAGACGGTTATAGAGACTAGAGGGGGGCATTGGCCCAATTTTTTTTTTTTTTAAATAGTATTTAGTCCCTAAACTTTAGTTAAACCTTTTTTTTCAAAACATTTAAATTACAACCTTCCAATTTTTAAATTAAGCCTCTAGTTTTTTTAAAAAAATTTAGATTAGTCCCCATACTTTTTCATCAAGCTATGCTACTATAGTACATATCAAACAATTTCAACAGTTAAGGGATTTGTTATTATCCTTTGAGATTTCCGATTCGAACACCGAGGATATGAAAGTTTATTGTCAAAAAATTAAGAATTTTTAAATAGATATCCTTGAGAGAACTAAGGTCTTATCACAATAGATACTACATAAATTTAACTAAGAATCACATCTATTTATATAAATATATTTTTGTATTTATGTGGATAAGTAAATTATTTACAATTTCAAAAATTAATGATGAGAGAAATATTTACAACTCAAATTAAGGGCCGAAGCATATCCCATTATTTCAACCGGTGAAAAAAATATTAGAGACATGAGAGGACGTTCGTATCAAGGGTGACAAAGTTGAATGGCAGAGATTGATTTGGTATCCACTCCACATCCCCAAGCATAGCTTAATAGCATGGATGGCTCACTTGGATCGTCTACTTACAAGAAACCGACTTCAAAGAATGGGCATCACCACTGAAGGGGATTGTGTTTTATGCACTAATGCTAATGAAACAAGGGACTATTTGTTCTTCCACTGCTCAATGGCTGCTTCCTTATGGGATTCTATAATGAACCTTAATGGGTTGAGAATATCTACTTCGTCATGGGGAGACATGGAAACATGGGCATGTAGCGCTTGGAAAGGTAAATCGCTTCTCACAACAATATTAAAACTTGCTTGGTGTGCTCATATATATACTCTATGGGAGGAAAGAAATCGAAGAATGTTTCGAGGTAGTTCCAGAACATCCTAGGATCTTCTCAAAGTCATTAAGGAAAGCGTAGGAATACAATTAAAAGGGAAACATATCAATAGACTAGATAGCATTAACCTCACTCTTTGTAATTCTTGGGGTATTGTCTAACCAATCATTTCTTTTGTATAGTTGAATATAGACTTCTGTTGGTGATTGTATTGTAGCATAACTTGATTCTTTTGGGCAATAATATTTGAATTATCTAAATCTAAATCTAAAATATTATTTAATTTACATTATTTTAAAATCTAAATCTAAAATCTTAACCCCCAAACGTTATATTGATGTTTTTGTTTGAGTAAATATAATTTCAGGTGGAAGAGCCAGCAGTGTTTTAATAACTTCTCTGTGAGTGATTGAAGATATGGGCACAAGTGTAAGGGTATGATAAATGGGAGTAACTTGTTTCTAGGTGGTTTTTATTCCGTTCTTAAATCTAGCTTTGATTTCGAGTTTCATCTTGTGTACAGCATAAGTCTAGTGCAATAAAACAGTTTGTGTCCTAAATTTGAGATATATGTGTGTAGGTATGTAATGTAAGTATTTTCTGCAGACCACCTTGAACAAGAATATTACAAGGGAATTGTAATAATTTAATGAACCACTTAATTTATATCAATTCTGATGGAATGTGAGTGATTAAGGTCTTTTGGTGATAACGAAAATCAAAGAACGAATATATGATTTGTATGTTAAAGGATTTTTAATGGATGGATGACATGTATTCAATAGATTCTACGAGATGGTAACTGATCAATTGATACCATAATGAAGTTTTCATTTTCTCGATAAATTAGGTTTCAATTTTTGCATGTTTAGTATAAATCAAACAATTTCAATGTTTAACATCTAGAAAAATATCTTATTGTCAAATTATTGAATATTTCAAAATAAATATTATTTATAAATTATATTAAAATTTAGAAAATGTAAAATTATACAATTTAAAGATTATATTTAAAAAGTAAAAATAAAGGATGTACTTAATCAGATTAACCCTCAAACAAAACCCCTTTCAGCCTTTCAGATTCCTTCAGTAATTTTAAGAGAACAAAAACAATTTAAGAACCGAATGAACCCATTGAAGAAGATTTTGAAGGCACAAAACCCATTACTCGAATCAGCAAAATCATAGCAAATCAATGCACGATAAAGGTAAACCATTTTTTCAGAAAGCTAAAAGCATAATCACTTGAAAGTGCCTCGGAATTGCAGAATAACAGCAAGGTTTTATGAAGCCGTTCAGTCCCGAAAGATGGTGTTCTTTTGTAATTGTTTTCCTCATCGACCTCATTCTAAAAATTTTTTTTAATAAAAAGCGAAAGAAAAATTGCGAAATCTTAAAAAAAAGGGAGAAAGAATTGAATGTTTGTCTCATGGCCAGTCCCAAGAGGTAATAGCAGCGACGCCGCTCCCCAAGGCGATGGAATATGAGACTGCCCGTCAACGGAGGAGCTCCCCGGAGGGAGAGGACCGTCAACGTCAACGAGCGTTTTTCTATGACGTTATCTTCGAGATTTACAAACACGATTTCAGCTTGCCTCGTTTTCATAGATAAGGATTTTTAAATCCTCCGCCACATATCGATTGAATTAAAGACGAAAAACACAAAAAGAAGAAGGAAGAAGAATAAATCAAATAAACTTATAGCAAATAATTAGGGATTTTAAGACGATTCTAGGGGTTTTCCTTGGAAGAACTTGGTCGTGATGTTGCAAAGGAGGTGTTATAATGTTTATTTATAGCGCAATTCGCCGCCACTGAATTCCTTCTCTTCCGATTTTGAACAAAAGGTACATTAGGGTTAATTTGACCAGGATCAACTTCCATTTTTGGATAAATTACATCACATATCATTAGATTTTGGACAATATATTATTTATATCCCAAACTTTCACTTATTTTAATTATAGAATTTTATTTTTTTGCTTCAATTATAATATTAAACCGTTAAATCAGCAATGGTACGACAATATCGTTTTTCTCTTACTGTTTTATAGTCTAAAAGTACTCAAGATGATATAATTTTATTGAATAAATTTGGGAGAAAAATGTTAAATACTCTCTAAAAGGCTTAAACCCAAGTCATTGAAAGAAAAAGCAAGCATTCAATCACAAACAAATTTAAAAACTTGTTATATTTTGAACTAAATTAATATATATATATATATATATAGTTGAGATTAATATTATTTTCTCAACTAATATAATATTCGCAGTGTTCAAGAAAAATTGATTGGACCTTCAAGAGATTTCATGAAGAAATCAGGAGTGTAGGACAGTTTCTGTATAGCGTCACGATAACTGGGTGACTTTGAAAAAAAGTAAATTATATATGATGCAATGAAGAATGAACTTTAGAGACTTGTGCAGATCTTTCAAGCAGTTTGTATCAATAGTAGGCATTTTCTACAAGTGTTTTGTGTCGAGGATCTATTTTTTTTTCTTCAAGCGCACCAATATCTGTGGCATAGTACTCATTTTGATGAGTGAAACCATCTAAACATATATAGTGCAAAAGGAAAATAGAATAAGAAAAGTTTTGGAGGTCTGTCGTTTGGATGGTGTAGAATTGATCATAGCCATGTATAATTTATAAAATCCTCTAATAATTCGAACGTTTTTATTAAGTCATCCAGAATAAGCTTTCCTTCTCAGACCCATCGCCCCATTTGCTGTTCTAACTCAATTTCTCAATCAGAATCTTCTAATTCTACCTCAACTGGAGTGTTCATCAAAGGTAAAAAATGGGTTGAAATTTGCATGTTTTTGGATTTTGGGTATTAATAATTACATTGTAGCTCACGTGTTTGTGAATTGTCTTTGTACATTGTTCATCATAGGATTGCCTCTGTCAACAGCTGAAGGACGTCTCAAGAAAGCGTTTTCACAGTTTGGGGAGGTCAAACATGGTAAATCTTGTTGATTTATTGATGTATTTTTTTTTTATATTAAATTACCCTTTTATCAGAAATTTGTTATGGAACGAGCTCGAATAAATCGTGTAAATGAGATTAATCAAGCTGAGGTCGAATAGTTCGATTTTTTTCGACCCAAGCTCAAGCTTAGATGATAGTATCTGATCAACATTGGGTTGAGCTTCGAGCAACGACTTCGTATCAGGCTCGAGCTATAGCTTTTCACTACTCAAGTTCAGCTCGACTTAGTTACAACCCTATTCATGTCCTGGAGACATAGTATTTGTTTTTAACGATTGTTTGTTGCTATGTTAGTCCAATTGTTAGTTTTACTGAAGTATCTATTTTGACACCCATGTCCCGTTCGTACTTGGACATGGGCAGTGGGGTACGATTCTCGTATTCATGTTGAACACGAACTCGTATCTGACACTCGCCATTGACTCAGAGAAACAGAGGAATATTTTGTAGAATATTTCTCATATATTTGTGCTTGAATGGGATTTTATTTATGGAAAAAAACTAGTGGCAAAAGAATTTACTATATGAAGAGTTGTGAGGTTGCCGTGGGTATAAAACAAGAAACAAAATTGGAGTACATTTCAACCATGTTAGGTGAGAAGAATGATTAACTTCTGTCTGATTGTATATGGTAAAATATGTTGGTAAATCCGCAACTACGAGCGCCTACAACAGAGTTGCCCTATTTAATTCAGCTTCACTTGTGAACACTAACTTTTCTATCTGCGGAAAGACTTCGCAATGGAGATTAGTTTTGTAAATTTAATACAAGGGTGTTAGGTTCCATTTGTTAAGCATTGTTATTTTTATCCAAGATGTCATGAAACACGGAATTTCCTTATATTGCTAAAGATTTAGAGCAGGACTTGTTCTGATTGTAGCTTTTTTTTTCTAATCGTTTTATATAATTTTGCAGTCAATGTTGTGAGGAAAAAATATCCAAGCAGTCTTTAGGATCCGCTTTTGTTTGGTTCGATAAGGAAGAGTCCGCGCAGCTAGCCGTGAACGAGATGAGTGGGAAGGTAGCATATATCTGGCAATTATACTAACACTCATCTCCATAATTCCCTCACATCTCATAATTCAACTTCCAAATTGTTTAGTTTTTTGATGGCAGGTTCGTTTTAGTTAAAATCACGATACCCGGCTTGTCCAAAAATCGGGGGAGAACAACACCATACAAGTTCTAATTTCCCAGAAACGTTTTAAGCTGATACAATAGTAAAATGGATTTCATTTATGAGCAGATACGCGATACTATCGACAGGTAAGAAGTAAATCGAGTTCTTGGGGTGGTATTATGCTGTCTTTACCATAATGAACATTTGTTACTACTATTGTATGATCTTCATAGAATGAAGTTTGAAATGAACAGATTACACAAAATGCAAATAGATTAGGGTATGCTCGATTTATTTAGAGTTTTTACATATATTTGGAAGATTATATCTCATGCTCATGTCCTTCTATGTGTTGGACATGGATTTTAGATTCGAGTATTGTAAACAGAGAAAGAAGGTTTTAGATTCGAGTATTGTAAACAAAGAAAGAATCCGGGTAACGACCCGAAAGCAATGAGAGTTAAAATGTTAATTGACTTGCCATTGTAGAGATAGTTTGTGTTAGTTTCATTCCTGGGTTACCTTTCAATTCCAAATCCTATTTCTTTCTTGCAGTTGTATCATTTTATTTTTCATTTTGTTTTGCATCTCATATGAAGGAATAAAATATTAGCTTATTGTTATTGTCATGGTATATATCTTCTTGGCATAGAAACATTAAACACATTATGGATTTTGTTTTGCTTCAATGGTAGCTAATTTAACCCTTAAAATTGTGTAACATAAAACACGTTAGTAAAGTTGGTTAATTTTTAATTTAGCCTTTAAATTTTAGTTAGAATACTAATTTGACCCTTAAACTTAGACGAAAAATCATTTTGAATCAATAACTTTAGGTAAAATATGTGTTTGATCCCTGAATCCGACCAAAGTTTCTTTCTGCCAACCACCACTCATTGTAGGTCATTGTCGAAGATGATAGTTGGATCCTAGAATTTCTGGTGCACTCCTTTTTAGCCTCATGAGCGTGAATCGAATGTTCGTTTTATCGAAAAATATATATGACTCAATAAATTTAACCTAGAATCCTTAGACTCCCTTTAAAATTAAATTATAATAATAAATTTATCATTAATAATCCTTTAAAAATTAGTATACAAAGAATCTAAATCTATATCAAAATCAGACTCATAATTTTTTTATTAATAATATTATTATGTTATAAAGTTTGCACATCTGTAAATTTAAGGTTATACATTTATAGGGTTTAAAATTATAATATAAATTAAACCATATTAATAATATTTATAAACTATTTAGAAAAGTCTAAACCTCTAGATCACTCGCTTTATTTTTCCTCTTTTATTTTCTATTTATCTGAATGAATTATGGTTTGGAATTTTAAGTTGTTATGTTAAACTAGAATATTGAATTTTAAGGCAGCCATTGAAGTATTTGTTGCAGAAAAAGAAAGTACAGTTATGTACAAAAAAAAAAAAGAAAGAAGGAGAAGCTTTCATTGAAGGTTTGAAGATTGAATTGTCAAACTTAATTCTGTCAAATCTGCATTAAGAAAACTAGTCAAGATTTGTAACATCCTAAATTATGGGTTAGTGACTTAATTGTAAAGTTTCAGAATTTGGTGATTAAAATAGAAGAATGTATTAGTTCAATGTTTTATCTGGAAATAAATCTAGTAATTATTAAAGGAATTAAAAGGCAAAATGGTTTTTTTATCTAAAAGATAATTATCTTATCTCTTTATTAAGAGATAAGCATGTAGGGAGATATTTCTCCATAACTTATTCTCCTTCTTCTTCCTCTCCTCCCGTATCTCCAAGCTCAAAGGTGAGTATTCTACTTAGTTAATTATTTGTTAAGTTTAAGATTGAGTTTTGATCATTAGATGATAACTAAGCTTAAGGAAAACTTAAGTTATCTTAAGATCAAAAGATAAAGGAGATAGAGAAGATTAAAGATTAGAGGTTCTTGAATGAAATATTGGAATAGAGTTCATAACAAGAATTGAAAGTTGGATTTGACTTGTTATCAATCTAAGTAAGAGATATGAAGTAATAGAATTGGATTTGAAACATGTTGCAAAATTGATGTAATTATTAAATTACATATGGAAGATAGGATTTTGAGGTTTAAGATGAAATAAATGAATATAGATTGGTTTAAGTATGTGTACTAGAGTTAAGAATGAAAAAGGGGATGAAACATGAAGGATTTAATCCAAAATGAATGATTTTCGAGTTCAAAAAGAGGATTCTGGGCAGAGTGCATCGATGCATATTCATTGTGCATCGATGCATCAAGGTTAAAACCCAGAAATCGTTTGAAGGTGTATCGATGCACAGGGAGTGTATCGATGCACTCTTTTAAAATAAATACATCGAATGCAATTCATGCATCGATGCATAAGTAGTGCATCGATACATCCCATTAATAATGAAACATTGAATGCAATTGGTGCATCGATGCATAAGGAGTGCATCGATGCATCCCAGCAATAATATTACATCGAATACCTTTTATGCACCGATGCATCAGTAGTGCATCGATGCATACCTTCATTAAAAGATGAAATTGACTTTTCTCTTGGTCTAAAGAGTGAACCATTAGAGTATATTAGTTATGATACTGATATAGATCTATGTATGATTATGTAGATATAGAACGTGATCCCGTTCCGAATCAACTAAAGGATTAGAATTGAATCAAAGCAAAGCTAAGGTGAGTGAAATTTTATTTGTACTTATATTATTGAATAAACATTTGGCTTGCGATGAGCCAGTGATGGAGTTACTATGGTAAGAAGTAACTCCTAAAATGTTATTTGATTGGTGATCAATGTTATGATTTGTGTGATTATGAGATATATATGTTATATGGAAAGTATATGTGAAATGAGATATGAGCTTATATGAATATGTGATATGAATAAAGCTATAAGAAATGATTTATGTGAATACCTGCATTTGTGATGCATGTTATATGATATTAGATATATGTTTACACATACATATGGTATGTGACCGAAGAGAATGAACATGTGATTATAAGATCAATGATTACACGTACATTTGGTACGTGACTGAAAAGAAAAGATATATGTTTATAAGAGAAAGGATATGAATAAGTAAATTGAACTGTTATGAATGTTAATGCCCATGTTATGTGATAAGAGAGCTAGTGGTATAGTTGGCATGCCAAGGGTCGAGAGTTTACCTATGTTCTTCGGGACATATGGACTGTTTACCTATGTTCTTCGGGACGTATGGACTGTTTACCTATGTTCTTCGGGACATATGGACTGTTTACCTAGATTTTTCGGGATCTATGGACTGGTCCTTCGGGACGAATACTGAACTAAGGTTCGGTGCCCCATGAGGGAATTGATATGAGCTGTGGTGACAGCATTGGTGCACAACCTCAATGTACTCACATACCTTAAGTTCTCAATAGTGTACATGGGCTAATAAAGAGATCAAACAAACATATTGAATGTGATATGTATACGATGGGTTTATAAATGGTTATCAAAGGTAAGTGGTTTGAAATGTGTTACATGAACCATATGATGTTATGTGTGTTTCTTAATGATAATGATGGTATATGTTTATGTATGATTTATGTTATATGAAATATTATATGTTTTATATGCCTCACTAAGTCTATGACTTAGCGTGTAAGTGATTTACATGTAGGTACCAAGAAACGAGAAGAGCAAGAATAGAAGTGGTAAAGATAGTATCATTACTAGAAGATCATATCAGAAGTAATTGACAAAGTATGTACTTGGTTATGTATAGAATGTTGGCATGTAATAAGTGTTAATTAAGAATACTCAGATCGATTTTGTATTTTATGGTCTTATGTAAATTAATGTATTTCGTTTTAATGAAAGTTTTAAAAATTCCCGGGATTTTCTATAAGAGTCAAAGTTTGAAAAGTCAACGTGACACCTCAGACTTGTATTCGGGTTGGATATGAGTTAAGGGTGTTACAAGATTAGTCAAACTTAATTATGTTTTTTACTGATTTTTCTTGCAAGAATCAGTCAAATTATGGATTGTTTTGGTGTAAATTATAGTAGGTTGTTTCTGTTGTAATTGAAGGTAGTAGATTGCCATGTTTTTACTTCATTTAAATATTAAAAATGCGTAACCTTAAACTTATAAATAGGGTAAACTACATCACATAAACCACCCACCGAACTTTAGGCGATTAACTTCCAATTTTGTCAGTTATAGTACTAAACTTTGAATTTCATTTCAACTATACAATTGAACTGTTAAATCGTTTCTTGTTTAACTAGTTTTTTGTGTTTATGGTTATACGAGAATATCGTAATTATGTGTTTAGTTTACGATTCTAATCGTAAACTCTCATTATAATTTTGAATATTTTTTCTTTCTTAATAAAATTAGTTGGTTCAATTTCTGTCAAAACAAAAAATTAAGGTAAGTTAAAGGATTCTATGTTATATTTGTTGAGTTCGAGACATTTTCGGTGAAACATACATTGAATTCACACTTACGAAATAAAAAAGGAGTGCGTTGAAAGTTTTGGTGGCCAACGGTCATCGACGAAAACAGTCGATGGAGACTGATGATGGTGGTGAGTGATGGCTGACAGCAGAAGACCTTTGATCGAATTAAGAAGTCAAATTGATATTTTATCTAAAGTGCATGGGTCTGAATAATATTTCATTTAAAATTTAGGGGCCAAATTAATATTTTAATTAAAGTTCAACGGCCAAATTAAAAAAAAACTCAATTTATTAACATATAGTGTCATCAAATTATTAATTCAATATTTTCTAAAATTAATGACAAAATATGATCGAAACTTAAACGAAATAACCATTCTTATAGTCTACCCTAAATCTTATTCTGTTCCTACTAAATCTAAACGAACCGAAAAAGACTACGCCTATCGAATTACATTTCCGTTTTCGTTGCTCGTACAGGAACACTATGCGTTTCAAGTAACATCAATCTAATACCAAATGTGATAATCATGGGAGCTTAATGATTCTCGCAAGGCAGTCGTCTGCTGGGCGTGGCAAGGGTAAGTAACTAATTGGACCATTTGGATTTAGCTGTTCAAGCCTGCAAGAAGAAGAAAACATGATGTTAACCATGCATGCATTTTTCTATCAATTTGGTTGAGAAGAAGAAGGAAGAGATTTAGATGCTCACTCGTAGTTGAGAAGAAAATAGTGAAGAAAAATAGAGATTTGGATCTTGGCAAGATCAGCTCCAGGGCAGGTTCTACTTCCTGCTCCAAAGGGAATGAAAGTTCTTCCCTTCAATCTCTGGTTCTGCAATTTACATCATTCATCTATTTATGTTCATCTTAGTAAATTTGAAGGGAAAAAAAGGCATTTTGGGTTGATTTTACTGACCTCCCATCTTGAAGGAATGAACTCTTTCGGGTTTGGATAAATGTTGGGATCCATGTGAATAGCCCTATGCCAAGCCATAACTCTCCATCCTTTAGGTATGGTGTAACCCTTAATGTTCACATCAGCTTCTGCTTTTCGAAAAAATGTGAATGCAATATTGCTTCTTCGCAAAGTCTCATCAATCACCTTCAAGTAATCAAAAGTTCAAACCAACATGGATTGTTATTCGATTCACTGATAGTATATAAAAATTATACATTTTCGGTTCATCAAATATTAATCTTATTCGTCTTTTATCATATGGGAAATGGTTGAAAAATAACAAACCTTGGGTAGATAACCATTTGCTTGATTTCAGTGAGGGTCAGGCCTTTCTGTGAGGATGACCTTCTTTCTATGACCTCCTGTTGTTCTTCCTGAAGAATAGAAATCAAAGTTCAGTTCGAATTCTGAAAAATCGATCGTACTTGTATTGGACAAGTTCGTCTTGATCTCACCTTGGCTTTCTGCAACATTTGTGGATGCTGATTGAGGTAGATGAGTGCCCACATTACGGTGTGTGCGGTGGTTTCGTGACCAGCGAACAAGATGAGCAGCAATAAGTCGATGATATGCTCGTCTTCCAATTTTTCGCCGGTCTCGTTTTTTACTTCCATGAGTAAATCCATCATTCCTTTGTTCATGCCTGCAGGGACAGAAGTAGTCGCTCTTCTTTCATCTACCTCATCTTCAATCATCTTTACCAACTTTTTCCTGGCCTGATAACACAAATGATTGATAATCGAGTTTGGTTAATTGGATATAACATAAATGTAATAAATCGATAATATAAATGAACTTTACCTTGATTGCTCTATGGAATACGAAACCAGGAACATCAATAGGCATGGAAAGCACACCAGGGAACAACTCTGTGTAATATTCCACCATCGACGTAAGAATCGAATCCTTGGTGGAACCGAGGAGAACTTGTGCAATAACCTTGAGACCAATCCTCTTCATCTCAGTGAAGAACTTGATCGGTCGGTCCATGGTATCAAGTTCTTCCAATGAAGGGATCACAATGTCTTCAATATGGCCTATGTACAAAGCTAGCGCACGATGGCCATTGATAGGATCCGATATAAGCCGACGCAAACGCCAGTGCTCCGAATTCGGAACTCCGTACAATGATTTCTTCCCTCCTAATCGTATCGCTGACGAAGGGTAGCCGAACGAGAAGTGTTTGTCATCCGTCAATACCTTTCGGCAAAGCTCCGGACTACAAACTATGATGCTCGGACTCCCGAACAAATGTGTTTTGTAAATGCTGGTTGGTCCATACTTGTTAATCAAGTTGTGGATGAAAGAATCAGGGTTTTGGGAGTTGAAAGCTCGGAGGAAAGACCACATGTTGCCGATGAAAGGCCATCCCATATCGCCAGGCGGGAGAGGGTTTTGCTTCTTCTCCGACCAACTATTAACATAGTACCATTCGTTTGTTTTCTTCAAGAAACCAAATAAAATGACAAATGTTGCAGCCAGAACTGCCATAGATGACAATGTCAATTCCAACACCATTTTGGCTTTTGTTGTACTGCTTTACACATTTTGGGCTCTCAATATGCTCGCCTTTATAGCAGCTTCATGGATGAAAATTCTCTACGTCCTACAAATAGATTTAAATTACGGTTGACGTTTCATTTTCCGTTATCGTGTGTTTATTTTGATTGCGGCAATATCAAGTACTATTTAAATACGTGGTGTACGCCTTCATGGATGAAAGCTTGCGGGTCAACAATCATCGTTGAAATGTGTTTCTTTTGCAATCATGCCAAGACTGTCAAAAAGTCTGTTTCTACAATGTTGGTCAATGCCAAGAATTCTACAATTTTGTATAATTTTGACTTCTTAATGACTTGATCACCCCGTATTGACTGGCCAAAAAAGATTGTCATTTGCAAGCAATGCCAAAGACTGGTACAAACGACCAAACACCTTTAGATCTGGTTTGCATATACGTGGTCTACGCCTTCATGGATGAGAGCTTCAAGGTTTGAATATATTGAGTCTTTGAAGAGTTCATCTTGTGACCGAAGTTGTCATTAGTCCATCTTAGACTAGGTACAAACGACCAAACACCTTTAGATCTGGTTTGCATCTATACCAAATCATGGTTGAGTTTGAGAGAGTTCTCTCTCTAAGGATGATTCATCCCAACTTATCTATTCTCTATTTCTCCTTCATTATTTTTCGTCTAAATCAAAAGACGTGAACCACAAAAAATAACCACAATTTCAATTTCAATTCTAATTCCTATTACAATTACCCCTCGAAATTGCTTATATGGATATGATGTAAGATGTTTCCTTTTTCTTTTTTCACTATGAAACTTTTCTTAAATATTTTTAAATAATTTAATATATATATTGAAGACACCAAATTTCGACCATTAGTATTATATTATATAACATAATATATATATCCTTTTTACGAACTATATAATATATATATATATTTGTTTATTTATTTATTTGGGTTTCATTACATGGTATAGGTCCAATAAAATACCATTACAAGACCAAAGTGGCCCAACAGTGCTGCATTGCTAAACCAGTGGCCCAAGAAGGAACAAACAGCCCGAAGCAGCAATGGACCCATGAACCGAGTTGGTTTCCAGAACCCTAGCAGCGCCGCGCAGTATTCCCAACCTGCCCGAGTTTCATGTCCCACGCCTCCTCGGTAGCAAGCATCGTGAGTGTATGGGACTCCAACCCCGAACGTCCGGCGTGCGTGGAGAGTCACCAACCAACACAACAATAATAGTATTGTTTTATTCGGTTGTAAACACCTAAAAATATGATTTTTATTCTTATAAATAGATGTAATCAGAACCCATTGTACGCTACGGATTGAAATACGAAATACAAGCAAAGTTTTGAGCAAATCATAGCCGAAGTAACAGAACGTTCGAAGCATTTGTTTTTTAGCAATATTTCGAGAGAAGAACAAAGGTAAAAGGCTTACCTATTTCGATTGTTGGCTCGCATGTGTGATTTCTGCGTTTATTTTTGCTCGATTCAAACCCCAAAAGGAAGTTTTAGTCGATGAACCGGGACGTTTTCAAGATCTACTTCTGTAGATCTAGCCCCCAAGGCTCGTGCTTTCGAAAAAATATTCAGATTTTTAAAACAAGGAAGAGAAGAGCTTTTCGAAAAACAAAAAAAAATCGTTTTTCACCGCCGATGAACGGCGACCGGCTTTGCGGCGCAGTGGCCGTTTTCTGGAAAGCACGGTGGTGTTCATCCTTATGGATGAACGAATTAGAGAAAACAAAGGCAAAGGGGGGGCTATCGTTTTGTTGAGAAGAAGAGAAATGAAGAATTTACAAATTTTTTTACTTTTATACTGGACCCGATCCAGCTTATGACCCGACCCACCGAACTCCTTAGACCCGCGTGTTTTTAACAAGAAGAGGGATATTCACGTTTTGGTCCTCCAGGTTTTAAAACATTTAATTTAGACCCATGAATCAATTTTTAAATCCGAAATCCTTGTAAATTAACCCTTGTATTTAGAGAAAATCGCCTCAGTGACCAAAAAAAAGTTATAATATACGATTTTAACCAATTTTTTTTGGATTTGCCAAAATGACCAACAAAATCGCAACGCGAAATAAAAATCGCAACGCGATCCCCAGAATCGCAAATCAGTTTCCAAAATCGCAACGCGATTCTTGAAAATCGCAATGCGATAGTACAAATTCGCATTGCGATTTTCCAAAATCGCAACGCGAATATGAAAATCGCAACGCGAACACATAAATCGCAACGCGTATCCGTAAATCGCAACGTGTATCCGTATATCGCAACGCGTATCCGTAAATCGCAATGCGTATCCGTATATCGCAACGCGTATCCGTAAATCGCAACGATAATCCGTAAATCGCAACGAGAATCTGTAAATCGCAACGATAATCCGTAAATCGCAACGAGAATCTGTAAATCGCAACGATAATCCGTAAATCGCAACGAGAATCTGTAAATCGCAACGATAATCCGTAAATCGCAACGAGAATCTGTAAATCACAACACTGAAATTTTGGGTATATAACACTGAAATCATAAACTAAATCCCTAAATCGCAACTCATTCCATCTCCATCTATCACTCTCTCCGGCGACATCCGTTCCTATATCCAACGACATCCTTCCCAATCCGGCAACAGGTTTTAGTTTCGCAGCTCGTCTGTTTAGTAAATTAATTTACAACCATGAAATCATCTAATGTTGATCATGTTTGGATAGATTTGTGTTTTGGAGGGTCATGGGATAATGTTCATGGTGTTTTACAATATATGCCTTTACCCATGAATCTTCAACTAAAATTGTCTTTACAAAAGTTAACTTATGAAACTCTAATGCTACGTGTTTCAAATAAATTGAATTTAGAGCCCCTAAGTGGATTTAGGCTATCTTATCAGAGAAATGGTAAAGTTTATTTGTTAACCGACAATGAAGATGTTGAACGATTCATTGCTTACATTAGTGTTTCACAGATGATGTTACATTGTATGTTGTTGAACCTAGAAGTAGTATTGTTGGGTCAGTAGCGGGTAGTAATCAACTAAGTTTTTCTCAAAACCCACAACCTTTTCTAATCCAAATCCCAATCAACTTTCAGCACCAAATTCCGGTTTTCGTATTGACCAGTTAGACGATGATGAGCCAACAGAAAAAATTGTGAGTACTAGTCAGTATTCGAAATTTGGTCTTGGTCAATATCCGGACTTTGATATTGGTCAATACACGGATTTTGATGATGTTTCAGAAGAAGAAACAGACCCTGCGTGTAATGATTTTGATATTGGTCAATACCCGAATTTTGATGATGAAACAGCCGTTGCCGAAGAATGTATTGTTGATGATAATGAGGAGGAAGTTACGACTGTGAATGAACATGTTGAACATCCATTCTGTAATTCATATAATCCTGAAGAAGAAAAAGAAGAAGAAAAAATCCCCGAAGAAAAGAAAATGCCACGGGCGTATAACTGAAATATGCCAGAATTACTTCAGATACCGGAAGAAGAGTTGGTAAAGAAAGCAGTTGATTGTTACACAAAAGTTATTCGTATCAAGAAAGATGATTGTTTTGATACAAAGGAAGACTTGAAGATAGCTTTGTATACGAAATGTGTGGAAGATGGCTATCAACTAAAAGTTAACAAATCAAGCAAAGATCGTTTCGAAACAAGGTGTATGATTGACAAAAACTGTATGTGGCGAATGATTGCAAAGAGAATAAAAGATTGCGAAATGTTTCAAGTTAGGACTTTTATTGATAAACATACATGTTCAAGAACCCAAGTTTTTCCTCACCATAGACAGGCAAACAAAAAGGTGTTGGGTGGTTTTGGCTGAGTTAATGTTTTTGAATGGCAGGGTATATCGGGGACATGAAATTATGACTGACATGAATGCTCGGTTCAAGATTAGTATATCATATTCTCAAGCTTGGAGAGCCAAATGTTATGCCTTGGAATTGTTGAGGGGGTCGCCAGAAGCATCGTTTGCCCAACTGTCGGCTTATTGTCACAATTTAAAGCTGAAAAATCCTGGGTCGGTAACTCATATCAAAACAGATAGAGATGGCGCTTTGAGTTGCTGTTTATCGCCATTGGTGCTACGGTTAGTAAATATAATTTTGTTGACTCATTTTTGTTAGTTACATGCATTTCATATTTAAATTTATATTTTTGTATATTATTTTGTAGATTCGTTTTACTTGCGCGCCAGTTATTATAGTTGATGGAGCACATTTGAAAGGTCGATACCTTGGAGTAAACTTATTAGCAGTAGCCATGGATGCTAACATGGGATATTGCCAATAGCTTACGGGGTTGGCAAATCTGAAACCTCTGATTCATGGACATGGTTATGGGGCATCTTAGGGATTGCATAGGTCCTATTAGCAATCTGACAATCATATCCGATAGGGCAAACTCAATTGACAACGCTATTAGAAGGTGTTTCCCAGATGCTTTTCATGGACTTTGTGGTGTTCATTTGTATAGAAATCTAAAATCAAGGTCTGCTGGTATAAAAAAAGCACAAATGGACATACTGGAAAGCTGTAAAAGCTTATCGGGAAGTGGATTTCAATAAGCATATAAATTGTTTAAGACGTGTTTTGCCTCAGTGTGCTCAAACACTAGAAGATGTCGGGTTTGAAAGATGGTCAAGAGTACATCAACTTGGAGCAAGATATGGTTTCATGACGTCTAATAGTGCAGAATCAATCAACGCTCTAAGTCGTCATTCCCGGAAATTACCCATTACTATGTTAATGGAGTTTTTTCGAGCCTCTATTCAACAGTGGTACTACAAGAAAAGAAACCATGCAGGTATTTCTTTGAATTCGTAACTTATCATATTATATTTTACTAAGTATTGTTTATTTAAATTTACAGGAACATTGGAACATCGTGTTACACCAGGACTGAAAAAAAGATAACGAAACGTGTTGTGAAGTCAACGTCATGGAGAGTTGAACCATGTTCAAACACTTTGTTTCAAGTACTGGATAA